CAACTTGCTGTGAGGTGTCTCAGCTACATGGGTTGGGGGTCCCCCCTTTTTTTTTTTTTACAATATAGGTGTTTTAATATTATATGGCACAGTGGGCTGTGAGTGGGGGTCATGCTAGCATAGGGTATTTTAGACCATCACACATGCCCCTAACTTTGTTTCTAGGGTAATTTGGGTACAAAAATACGATTCCAATCATTTACAGGGCCGAAAATGTCTCAGAAAAAATTTTTGGGCCGATTTTAAGCAATCTTGTAGTCCAAAAATAGGAGGCTGATCCCAGGAAAAGTTGTTTTTTTAGAGGTTTAATCAATTTTAAAGCTCTTTTATGAACTGTAAACGAAGGAAGCTATCTTAGGAACTCAAATCTTTTTGAATTATGAAAAAATATTGATCAGAACAAAAGTTGTGCCCATTTATATGACCAAAATTTTCTGAAACACCAAAATTGTTCCTGTTATTTTCAAAAATTTCGTTTAAAATCACGATTTTTTGGATTTTTATCAATTTTAACTATAATAATTGTGATATTTTGATTTTTCATCCATATGCATCTGGTCTAGGATGCAAAAAATGCCACAAACATGGAGAATAACTAAAATATGTCAATTTAATAGCAAAATTGAGCTCATAAATTATCTAAAAATGCAGCAAATTTTACCCAATTTTTGAGTTTCTTAATTTTGTAAACAGAGTTCCCCCAAAAGTTCCCAAAGTGATTCTTATTGCATCTGATAGGGAATTGTCTAAGCTTTCTGATGATACCATGCATTATACCGAACTATTGCAAACCAACAACGATTTCTGTCGTTAAATACCCCAAAAATTGCCTAAAATACACGCCATAAAAAAGGCGCGGTCAAAAATCAGGTGAAAATGTTAAAGTCACACAGTTTTTTTTAGATGGCTGAGTATTCTTAAGTACTATACTGTATTTCAATTATTAAAAACTGCCTTGATCAGGCATTTTAGCCCAAAATAATAAATATTAGGCAATTTTTGGCTAAAAAAGGCAAAATTTCTTGACAGTGAAAAATGCTATTTTTTCACGCGACGCCATTTTGGCATCTTGCAAAGTTTTTAATTACGGTTTTTTGCATGAAATCGGGCTAGAGTTTTACAATAAGGAAAGCTTATTTTCAAAGAAATTTAAGAAAGTCGATTTTAGGCCTATGCTAGCATGGTAGCCCACTGTGTATGGGCGTGGTCGAAATATTCGAATTTTAAAATTTTGGCGACGGAATCCTCGAGCAAGTCGGTACAGTATGCTTGTCATACGTTGTATGACCCGCTGCACACGATTGAGCGGCTCCCCTGTATCGTAGAAACTCTACAGTGTGAAACTCTACAGTGTGAAACGACCGTGGGGGTCACAACGTGATACAACAGTATGCCATCTGCAAAGCAACAACTCTCAAATATAAAAGACGGCGGAGGTATAAGACTCAATGAATGGGTACTGACTTTTGGCCCACCCTGTATTATTCTTTTTTACCTGGGGCCAGGCTTAGGTGTTAGTGCTCATAAACACAAATGATATAGAGGGGGTGCAAAATCGTCGTTTGAATGTGGGACAATTTTGAAAAATTTAACTGAGGTACTAGCAAAACTGCACGTTTTGCTCTAGAAACATACTTTTTTAGAGATTTTACCGGCGGGGCATATCCTCTAAAATCACCTAATTTGTTCAATTTTAGGGAGAGATGTCAAAAGGGGAGGGGGCGCCAACAGGGGGGCGAATCTTCGGCGGGGGCGCCAACACACAACAGGCAACGTTACTTCATTGCAGTCTTACAACCTCATCCCTGCCCGGCCCCTATGATGCAATGGAGTAGATGTGTATATATATGATTGTTGATATTTCATATATAATATTGGCAGCAGTGGACAATTTCTTTTACCTGTGTATTGTGCTCTGCCAAGTGCATCACTCGATTTAATTGAATGCATATATTATATTGTTTGAAAATCTTTCCATTTCTTTTATGAAAGATGCATCACAAATGTCTTTTTCGTTAAAAAAACTGCAATATTTAAACTGATAACAATCTGTCCTATCAATACAAATTTGTACAGTATGGTTAATTTACTCACATTTTATCCAAATTTCTAACTCTACATTATAATAGACGTGACCATATCCACTATTGTTTCCTTCTTAATCTATCCTCACTTTTCCATGTCGGTAATTTTTATAAAAGTAGTTTCGTGATTTTAGGTTCAAAATTGCGAAGCTATGCAGTAGTTGCATGATCATGGTCGAATTATACATGTTAATAAAGTAATTAAAATAAAGATCATCATGTTTAAGTTTAATCCTAGCAAATGCAAAATAATGCATGTTCCATTTAATGAAAATCCCCTTCAAGAATATGTATTTAGTGGTGTTACACTTGAATGTATTGAAGCAGAGAAAGATCTTGGAGTTTTAACTTCTTCAGATTTGAAATGGTCGAAACATATTAAAAGTTGTTTTAGTAAAGCAAACAGTATGATTGCATGGGTTACAAGGAATCTCATTATAAGACAAATTAACGTTATGAGAAATGTTTATAAAACTATAATAAGACCCCACTTGGAGTATTGTGCTCAGTTGTGGTCTCCACCTGCCTGCCATGGGAATTGGGCTACTATCATTGAACTGGAAAATGTCCAGAGAAGGTTCACACGCCTTATTGATGATATTGGAACACTTCCTTACAGTGAAAGGTTGGATGCCTTACAGATTACAACACTCGCAGAGAGACGGGTTAGAGGAGATTTGATTGAAGCCTACAAAATTGTAAATGGATTGGTTGAGTATGGAAAAGATATTTTCAATTTAAGTAGATCGGGAGATAAAATTGTTAGCACTAAATCTAACAATATTGATAGAAATATTAAAACCTTGTCTAATCATTTTTTATCAGAGCGTGTTATCAGCTTTTGGAATAAATTACCATCTTTTGTTAGAAATTCAGTGTCTGTTATTGATTTTAAAATTAATCTAGAAGAATTTAAAAAGACTAATAATTCAGTAGACACAGGCAACTTTTGGGAAGTGTCAAATATAGTTTTAGCAAAAATAGAGGGTGTAAATTATATCGAAAAGAAGAAGCAACAAGTTTAAGTCCAATATTCATATAAAAATCCGTGTGTTGCCAAGAAAAAGGGAATAAATATGACAATTATGTTAGTTATAGAATTTGTTTGTTTTTTAATGACGAAGGCTGTGAAATGTTCACAGTTCTGATAATGAGGAAATCAGAAAGAATGTTTAAAACTAGTGATGATGTTTATAAATCAAGAGGCTTGCATATAATGAACATATTGACATGGGTGCAGAGTTGAGTCTGTACGGAACCTAGTAGTTTCAGTTCCTTGTTTAACTTGCCGTACAGCAAGGACATCCACTACTTTAGCCCGGCGAGGCACATAGCTCACTCTACAACTCTGTGTCAAATGTTTCATATATACTAGCCAAGTTCAGTAAAACAAAATTTTTTAGTAAAACAAAATTTTTATTTACCACAAAACAATCAATACATATTTAATATTATTATACATTTACAAATAAATCTAAATTTAAATTCAGCTATATACACAGTACACAGCCCGCCGCGCAGACAGCCACACATTGCTGAGAGATTCTCAGATATATCCTTGTGTTTGAGAAGCGCTCGTTAGGACTGCTTCCTTTCCCTTCAGTATCCCACAGTCTCTCGAGTTTCGTAACTGCCAGAGAGCTCTCTTAAACAATTACTAGACCCGGTGATTATAAATCAAGAGGCTTGCATATAATGAACATATTGACATGGGTGCAAAGTTGAGTCTGTACGGAACCTAGTAGTTTCAGTTCCTTGTTTAACTTGCCGTACAGCAAGGACATCCACTACTTTAGCCCGGCGAGGCACATAGCTCACTCTACAACTCTGTGTCAAATGTTTCATATATATACTAGCCAAGTTCACAAGATATATCCTTGTGTTTGAGAAGCGCTCGTTAGAACTGCTTCCTTTCCCTTCAGTATCCCATGTCATTATTCCTAATCTAATCTAATCATAAATGCTCACAATTGACGTTTTTAAGGGGTCGTTCACAATAATTACATGATCATTTTTTTGCAATTTTTACCCCTCCCCCTCCGTAATAAATTTTAAAAATAGTATTTGTTTCTTAACTTTTACACTAGGTTCATCATTTGGAAAGCCCCCTTAGTGATTAAATTACAAAATATGTGAACGACCCCTAATGAAATAAAATGAAGAATATAGATATAAATATCATCACCAATTCCAAATACAGCCATCCAAACTCCTAGATTAGGATTATCAGTGCTGTGAAGTGTGAACATTTCACAGCTTTTGTCATTAAAACAAACATATTTTGTTACATCTCGCTTCATGTACACGCTGAATTATCATGTCCCGATATAACCTAAATCTTCAAAAATGTATAAGCTAGATTTGGCAATTTACTTGAAAAGTGTCGACTTGCATTGACCAGCATTTAACGGAATTCGTTTGAGATTATTTTGGGCACCTTGACAAAAGCTATTCATATTATTATGCTTTTGTCACCATCATGCTTTCTATACAGAAATAAGCCAACGTTTCTGAGTTTGTTGTTCACTACGATTTGTAGTGCATATACTGACATATAAATTATTACAAAAGATTTGATCCTGATTCATGAAGTTTTAAAGAATTTATTGTAATGCATGCATGAGTGTGCTTTTTGTGGAGATATAAAATGTACCTTTTTCAAATCCTTTGATAAATAATAATGATATCTAGTGTATATATTTCTTTAGTGTAAATCAAAACCATAAATTGCTGCAAATTTAGCCTAAATTATCCTTCCTATGACCTAACATTGTAGCATATTTTGCATTTCAATCATCAACTATAGCTGGATGAAAGAAGAGGGGAACTTATTCTGTGCGTTCTAATTATATTAATTTGAACTGTATGACAGTTTAATTACAATCTTAGTCAAGAAAATGTCTCCTAAACATTCCATCTTAACAGGAAGATATGAAACAAAGGAGAAAGAAGAAGCGTACTCATGTTGTAGAAGATGAAGAAGGACCACACACATTTGTTGTAAATAAAGGCAAGATTGGTAAATCTGGTCTAAGTTTAATGCTTGATGTCAGAAAATGTCTGGAGCCTCTTACAGCCAGAAACTTGAAAGCACGAAAATACAACAAAATTAAAGATTACATTCATGTTTCCTCACAGTTTGGTGTTTCACATCTTCTTCTAATGTCCAAGTCAATGCTTGGCTACATGAATCTACGTGTTTGCAAGGTTTGTGAAAAGAAAGAATCTTTTGTAATCCTATTTACAGGTTACTAATTTTGTAGCATAATCATACGATGGTTTTTTAGGAAAGGTAACAAGAGTTAAGAAGTTTCTTATCTGTTTATGTGTCTGTTTATTCTGAAAGCTTGTTATTGTGGTTTTATCATTGAAAGTATTTTGATTTAATGAAACTTACTTTTCAGGTACCAAGAGGTCCAACTCTTTCATTTAGAATATCTTCTTTCCTGCTGTTGAAAGATTTAGTTTCTTCACTAAAGCGTGTGAAAACTCACCAGCAAAGTCATGAATCTGCTCCTTTGTTAATCATGAATGGGTTTGATGAGTCCCTTCCTCACCACAAGTTAATAACTACTACCTTTCAAAACATGCTTCCAGCTGTCAATGTCAAAACTGTAAAGTTGAACTCTATCAAAAGATGCTTGCTTCTCAATTATACCGCTGACACTGACACTATTGAATTGCGCCATTACAATATTGCTGCTACTCCTGTTGGTGTCAACAAAGCTGTCAAAAAGTTACTGAAGAAAGTTCCTGACCTAAGCAGATATTCAGACATTTCAGAGTTTCTCACAAATGGTTATTTTAGCGAAAGTGATGGAGAAGACGGGCCAGAAAATCAGGTTGAACTTCCTCAAAATCTTTCTGGTAAAGGTAATATGAAGTCCAATAGAAGTGCAGTGCGGCTCACTGAACTAGGTCCAAGACTAACTTTAAAGCTAGTTAAGATCCAAGAGGGTGTGGGAGAAGGTGAGGTTTTGTACCATTCTCACGTTAAGAAAACCGCTGAAGAAAAGAAGAAACTTCGTGTAAAAATAGAGAAACAGAAGGTTCTAAAAGAAAAACGTAAGAAAGAGCAGGCAAAGAATGTTGAGAGGAAGAAAAAAGAGAGGGAACAAGAAACTTCTAAAAAGCGGAAGCGTGAGCGTGCTGTACGTCCAGAAAAAGATGAATACTCTGATGATGATGACGTGCAGTACTACAAAGATGAGATTGGTGAAATGCCAGATGCTGAACTTTTACTCAGGACTAAAAGGACAAAACGATCTGAAAACTTCAGTAAAGATAACCCCAAGAAGAAAGTGAAATTTGCAGAACCTGAACCTAGCACATCAAAAACTAAAATGGAGCATAGCAAGTCAACTAATGTCAAAGGAATCGCTTTTCGCAGGAAGAAGAAGAGTGCTTGATTTAGTTGGGATACCGGGATTATTAATTTATTTACTCTAGTACCAGTTTTTAATGTTAAGATTCCTACTGACCAGTTTTATTATGATCTTACTAACTTTCTTTTAATTTATAAATCTCTGCTTTCTGAACAGTTTTTGATATTGCTTTTTATTCGTGTGCTAAACTCGTGAACTAATTATGATAAAAAATTCAGTGTAATTATTATTTGTTCTGGAACATGATCAATCATTTCTACATGAAATCGTTTAACTTTAAATTTAAACTTCAACTACATCACTGACCCCTAACCAATTTAGTTTTGCAATCATAAGGTCTACCGGAAACCAGCTGCCAGTGCCATGTTTTGGCAACAACTGAATCTTGAGGACTCGTTGCTCAATGAGCTTGTGACGAAGGAAGACACTACTCTTGACAGGGTACTGGAAGAGAGTGACATCATCCAGGAATGCAAAACAAAGAATGAAAAATTATTAGAGTTCTTGTGCAGGATGGAAAACATGCACCAGCTCATCGATTACATAATTTCAGAACCACAGGATGAAAGTGATGAGAAAACTAAATTTTATAAATCTTATATCAGCTGTGAACTGTTATCAAGCGACACAACCCTTATCACTGATACTCTCGCTAACGATTCTACTTTAATATCACAACTCTGGAGCTTTGTGAGAACTCATGAAGAAATAAATCCTCTTCTTGCTTCATTTTTCAGCAGAGTTGTTCAAATCCTATTGAATCGAAGGCCAAATTTAATCCTGGAATTCTTGAAAGACCACCCATCTCTGATAGATGACTTAATTTTCCACATCGATACATCCGCAATCATGGACTTGATCTATAGAATTGTCATATGTTTTGAAAATTCCATCACTCGGTTTAAAGTGTGCCATTGGTTGAGGGACATGAGATTAGTTGAAAAGTTGGTATCGTCCTTATCAGAGGAGGCGTCCAGTGACACCCTGTGTAATACTTGTCATTTGTTGAGTGACGTCATCAAGGTGTGCAGGGATCCTCAGGAGAGTTTCAAAGGAGCCAAAGATGCTCTCCTTATCGAGCTCGAGGAGGAAACTACGATACAAAATATTATCACTACCATCACTTCCAGCAAAAACAAGTTTCTTATTAATCATGGAGTTGGTGTTTTACAGACCTATCTAACTAAGGTGATTTACATCGACACTTTTTTGGATGGCATGTTTTTCAATCCATGGACATCAAAATTGTGTATTTTATTCGACCTCACTGTTATTCTGATTTATTATGTAACTTACCATTTAAAGTATATAATTATCCTTTATTTCAGCCAACCCCAACATCAATGGTGCCTAACATGACTGTTGAAATAGATAAACCTTCTATTGTCTCTTTAGAGTCTTTTAATAAATCTATATCTGCAAATCTAGAAGCTTTACAGGTATATATTATTTCCTTGATTCCCTGCCTGTTCTCCATTTTAAACGTGATGTTCGTGCTTAGCCTCCCCATTATATTCAATCAAATGTGGATTGTGTTATGAATTTTGTAAGTAACTTAGTTAGTAATCTAGTTAGTTACCTAGTTTTAAATAACTTCAACATTATACAGGGGTTACTGGTCCAGCCTAAAGGAACGGCTTTTAGATCGGATCGGCTCCAAATCGTAAAGTTGATAGTCCTGCTGGTGCAGTGCTATTCTGTAGATATAAACAGCGAGCTAGTCAGACTGAGGACACTGGAACACCTGTGGAAGTTGTTCCTACAGCACCCTTTCAACAACTTCCTCCACACTCAGGTACCTAGTACACTTCTTCTCTACTTTTAATCTCCTTATATTAGCTACTACTGACATACATTTTCTTGTTAGTTCTTGTGATATACATTTTGCAGCAGCACTTATTTTTTAGAATGTGTGCAAGTGCCCAGTCCCCAGCCCCTATTATATAGGAATTTACTGTTAATCTGGGGATGGCAAATGTAAAGTTTTCCCGGTAAATGAAGGGAATGGCTATGCTAAATGCTATGACTGTACAATGTACAATGTACGTCGGTATATAGACTCTCTTTATTGTAGGCTGCTTAACTTCATTTAAAACAGTAAACACTGTCAAAGGTCAGACGTATCGAGCAGACAACTGAGTCGTAGACAATTTACTTGTGCGGTCAAGAACCTTGTGTTGAAAAAGGGCCCTGGTTCGAACAAATTATCAACTATTAGATCATTTTCAGTATTTATTAAAATTTTCCCATCGTTTGGCTTTGTTACAAAAATTGCAACAATTGACACATTCCATTCATATTTTAGAATACACGCGAGTTCAAAGTATACAGGAATTAATTAACCTGATGCCCTCCCCACAGGTAGTGTCGATGATACACCACATTCTGAACACTAAGATAGCGAATAATGACGACGCTATTCTCCTAAACTTTATGATCAGTGACATGAAGATCCTCTCTAAGATAGAAGATGCTTGGTCGGAACAAACAATACGGGAAGACCACAGCAACCCGTGTAAAAAGCGAGTGAGGAGAGCTGGGTATCTCGGTCACGTGTACAGAATAGCTTATGATGTTCAGGAGATCATTACAGGCAAGGAGAACAAGAAGTATTTCCAGGAGTGGTTGGACTGTCATGAAGATCCTCAGTTTTGGCAAACTTTCTTCGATGAAACCCTCAAGGTAACTTCTTTTCAACTGATCGTGAGATTATCCGCAATCTGCAAAATATTTCTAGAATTTCTTCACTGAGTCTGTACTTAAGAAATTCGAGAGTGTAACAAATAATAATTTAGGAGCAGAGGAAAAAGAACGAATCAGATCTTGGACCAGATCCACGGAGGTACCTGCACAACATTGATAGTGACGATGATTCTGATGATAAGATTGGGATTGGTCTGAAGAATCTTGTAAATAATCCTCTATTCACGGTGAGTCATTCAGTTATTTAGGTTTTGAGTTATTGATTTATTAAGTTACTGACTGAGGAGTCGGAAATCAAGTCTGTGGTTACACTAAGCCATCTGATTTTTAGATGCTTTGTAAGTATGAATGATTAGTTATATGATATTGACCGAATGTTCTCACAATCTCAAGGACCTTGTAACTTTCAGTGGAAGACAGATGACGATGACGATGCAGACTTCTCGTTTGAACCCACAGGAAACGATTTCTCACAAGTAATGGACTTCAAACCAGTAGTGGTGCCAGAATGGAAAGAGAGGAATATAGAGTTCTGGGATAAAAACATTGGGATATCAGATACAGATGGGGCTACAAGTATGCAGGTGCGTGGGAAGTTTGTAAACATGTTAACAAAAATGTGTTCTAAAACATTTCAATGTATATACCTACTATGAGTACTAATCACCTGTTCAATGCCCATGTTATATCTTACATTGACCGCTTTATTTATAATATTGTAGTCATGAGCACTAGATGGCCCCCCTTCTCCTCTTTTGGCACCATACTACAAGATATAATACCACCACATTCCACCAGACACAAGAAGGTAGCTCCTCCAGCTCAGAAGACGAGGATATAAAGGACGTGCACGATCCCTGGGCATCAACCACCCCTCAGGGTGCCACCATACCTGTTAAACAGGTACGTTATGTTCTCGATCTAGAATTTTCGCAGCTGCTGGAGAATGATTTTCTTTCTAATGTTGAAATGATTTAGTTTACATCTTACGTGTATGTCTATGTTCTTGATATTGAGGCTCACATGTTTTTCTCGCTAAATTTTAGCTTTATAAGATCCGAGAGAGAATGTTTTATCTCTGAAAAGGTCGGTTTCAGGTGACCATGCGATTCTAGCAGAGATGAAACACCTGCCTCCAGGGTGCGTTTGCATGGCATTCTTGTGATTTGCTATTTTATCTTACCGGAATGTCATGGACCAGTGGATTGCAGTCGCATCACACTTAAAAAATATTGCTCTTTAAAATACTTCTATCTTCAAGATACCAAGCAATCGGTCTTTTCTTTGTCTGAACCTAGCCAGCATAACAATAATATATAGCAACACTGCAACAGACTAGTTTTAAAAGAGCCAAAGTTTTGGATAATAACAAGCACATAAAGTAGTATAATAGGCCGAACTAACTGATTTTTTGTGTTGCTTGCGCTGCTGCTTTACTCGACTTGACTTGTTTGTGTCCATCATCATTACACACGATTAAATCTTCTTCTAAGGGTATGTAGCCTCTTTTAATTTTGGTGTGGAATGTAATCGACTTTGTTATCATGGGTATCATTCTTAACAATCCTCAACATCGCTTGCCAAGAAAAATAAATATCTATCGTTCTTCACATATATTTCATAGTTCATGTACGTATATATATAGATTTCGGTAGAAAAATAAATGTTGCCTTCACTGAAGTGAGCATTTACTGAATATTGTAGCTCTTCTTGTAGTCAACACAGTTTTATTAAGATTATGAAGAAAACATTTTGCGCTTCTGGTTTGGGTCTTTTAACTTGATTCTGTGTCATGTTCAGACATTATCAATAATGCATAAAGTAGTGTTGAGCTAGAACATACACTAAACGACTACATCCCCAGGAGTTCTCTAAAATGGACACTGACGTAAGCTGGGCGAACTTCAACAACTTTGAGTCTAGTGGGCAGGTGCCGGAGAAGTGGGACAGTACGCCGCCCGATGGACAAGTCCTCCACTCCAACCCACCTACCCCGGACGAGAAACACAGCGCCAGCAAGTACGCGGCAGAGGGGGAGTGTTACATGGTTGAGGAGATAAAATCTAACGGAATGGTATGTGATGAGAATGTGGCGGGGGAGAATGCCGCTGAGAAGATGGTGACAGAGCAGTGGCCCCCTGCCAGCCAGGAGATTGCGTCGTGAGGGAGTGACGCGCACACGTGGTGCGCAGCGGAGATATTATCTGCTGTGGTACCTTGATATAACGCTGTGAGATATCGTGTGGGTGTTACATTGTAGTTTTTAGTTTGTCCGATCAATTTAAGACGATTAATTATTTGGTTGATTAATTAATTAGTTATAAATTGATTAATTAATTAATCAAGTTAAGATGATTGATTGATGTGTTATTTCGGCCGGTTGCTTGAGACTATACTTTCAGCGGTATAAATATTTGTTCGCTTACATTAGATAATAACGATTTGATTAGATGATAACGAATTGATTTTGTCGACTCGTAGTTGTAATTTTAATTATTCTTATATAGAATTAGACTCGTACTTTAATTATATAATGATCTAAGTAATCAGGTCACGGCCATTTTAGTGCCAATCATTGAAATATTTTGTGACCCGTTATAAGTACCAATGGATATTTGCAGGTATTGAAAATTATCACTTACACTTACCTTAGGCTATGCTATGGTAGTTCTTGATATAACTTTCTTAAGTCAGATCTGTAAATATATTTTTAAAATGGTAGTCCTCCAGTTAAATTTTGTTCACAATCAAGTCTTGCGCTCGTTTTCTTTTTAGAAAACATATTATATACTTTCAACAAAGAATGAATAATCAGGTTTTTACAGAAATTGGGACACTTATTTTATGTAAAATCGAAAGACGATCACTCGAAACCATGTGCTAACTTCATACGTATATAAAGGTTAAATAATTACATAATTATTAATAGCATAATTGCATAATTACCAGCAGACGAATCAGAGAGATGTTTAAGTGTCTTCACATGTGTAAGTCTTGTTTTGATAATTCTATTACTAATTATTGTCACCAGTATACCCTCATATGATAATAATTTTATGTTATTTAGACATGTCTAAAGTCCTTTAAAACTACAATTTAACGGCTTATTTGTCTGTACGACACAAATTCATTTTTTGAAAATCTTTTACAAGGGCTTTAAGTTTAATATTAAAATTTACTCATTCAAAACGGGGAAAGCCCCCACAAGGGACATGTTTTATACATTCAACATTGATAATTTACGAGATTGTCTCTGTGCGAGTTTTGTATCATTTGTCAAATTATTACAATTTAAATTTGCTCAGTTTTCCATTAATTTCTCGTCTTCTTCGGACTATGTTAACGTCGTTAACGAAATAGTTGAACATCAAATTAACCTGGGTTTGAGTAACACTAATGCACGTCATTCCAGTACGAATCTTTAGTAATTTCTAGTAATTGATCACGAGGTTGAATTTAACCTGGCAGGAAACCATTAGTAATAGTATTCAGCAAATGACTGGTTACCGTCCGCGCCCTAGGAACCAAAAGGTTGATGAAGGAGTAATTAATCAGTGAAAAGGCAGGTACAGTACATATGCAGAATAATTATCGATATTTACAGAATCAATTGAACGGATCCTCAAAAGAAAAAAAAAAACTAGTCGTTATAAATAGAGTAAAGACTTGTTCCGACTTGCAAGGCGCTGTGTTTACAAAGGGTGCGATTAAGAACTATTTAATCGGAGCCTGGCGGATCTAAGTAGGAATATATAAAACCGATAGAATGACCGTTAATCAAATTGTGGCTATTTGATGAGGCAGTATAGAGCCTCTGACTCAAAGAGGCCTCCTTGTTTACAAACATTTTTGTCTTGAGCGAGGTTGTGGTGGAATTAGATTGCAGTTCATTGTCCTTGTTTGTGTTTTAGTACTTTCTGAGATCATGAGCTAATAAATAATGTAAATTTAATGGATTGTGTTTTTTATTCACTAGTTGCACTTACCGCGAAGTTTTTATATATAATTTCCAAAGTGGGCTGTGTTAGAATTAATCGTTTTATCCTGGTTCACACCTCTATTAAGTAAGTAGTAGATTACCTATAGCAATCTGCGCAGTATATTTGTAACGAAATGAGATTAGTTGAGCCCGGTAATTTCTGAGCCCTAGTTACGTCACGCGGTCGTCACGTGACTTCACACCAACACGTGACATTTAACTCACTATAACTCACTCCACCCTCTTATCATTTCTTTGTCTTGTAAAATGGCTGACGTTTCTTGTAGGCTGATGAAGGTGAAAGTGCGATGCCCGGGTAAAGTGATATTGTTTGGCGAGCACGCCAGTGTGTACGGTTACCCCTCTCTGGTCACCACTGTCTCAGCTTATACCCAGGTTAGTTTTTAAAGTAACTTGTTTGTTATCAGCTTTTATCTGATGGTGCAGTTTCGCTGCAAATTCACGTTTTTAATGCCGTCACGTCACTGTACACAGTACACACTCTACTATAAATCTGTCGAGCGCCTAAAGCACAGTTATTTATCCTCCTTGGCTACAATACAGTTACCACTTACCATTAAACAGCTCAAGGATTACCTGTCCTGAAATGGGGCTTTAATCTGTCATAATTCCGGTTCCCTTGTCTTGTAACGTTATTTCTGCAGGTAGAAATAGAACAGCTGATAGAACCTGTAATCAGATATGAAGCCCCAGCATTCGATTTCAAGTTGGAGTGTAAGGTGACACTGTTTGATGATGTGACCCCTATCAGAGATGAAGTGTCTGAGAAACAGGCCTGTCAGCAGATCAGACACATTCTCTCACAAAAACAGGTACGGAGACCAGGGGCGGTGTGGGGGATCAGAAACATACCATCATAGAAACAGATAAGACTTGAAGGGTACAAGGGGCCAAGGGTCGGAGGTGAGGGGGTTGCAATAAAAATGACAAAACTGATCTGTAAAAATGTTAAGAAGTCCTACCTCCTTCCCATAGTTATAATTTTTCCCATATTCTAGTGTTTCGTTAATTTGAAATTACAATAAGTTTATTAAGTTAGACCAAATTTTATCTTATCGATAACATTGTTATCCTAAAATTTTGCAAGACCTGGCAATTTGAAATATATCGAATCAATAATGTAATTTGATCGAAGTTTTCATGGTGTGTACTGTGAAGACGTACAAAATATTTCTCCGTTTATTTGCTCAAATATTTCATTGTGAAATTTCGAAAACCGAAAGTTTTACTTTGACACTGCACTTATGACAACATTATCACGTGATTAACTTATACAAGAAAGTTCCAACTAAGTTTATAAGATAATAAACTGTAATACCAACTAATCGCATGATCTAATATTCCTGTTGATATCTCCTTCGTCATCCCAGTTTTTACAGAGCGTCACAGAAGAAAGTTGGTTTCTCCTCCTTTATTTCTACCACAAGATTGTACCTCACACTGACCGATCCCGATTCGGAATTAAAGTAACCGCTACAACCGACCTCTGGCCCGGCGCAGGTTAACTTAATTACATTATATATTGTTATCTCCAGTGCTCTTATCTATTTGGTGTCTAAAAATACATGCGGTCAGTTTAATAAACCGGCTCTGAAATCTGCATTTAATTTGGAACTTTGTAATCTGTCGCGGTGGGGTAGCAATTCTATTGTAACTTTATGTTAGGCTCATTACTGCCAGAAATATTTAGATACGTCTGTAACTTGACGTGTATCTACTTACATTCACATTTGGGACTTGTCATGTTCATGAGTTCCCTGTAGTCAAACAAACGATTATTGATTATCTAAGCGGTTGAAAAAGACTTAAATAATACTGGAGATGAGCGGACGACTACCATAACTATTCTCATGCCTTCTTCCTCCCCTGATGACTAACTAGGAACTAACCACACATCTGTGAGATCCCGGATACGTAGTAACTGGTCACTAGTTAGTGATCACCTGGTAATTTGGTTACTAGTAACCTGCAACTGATCCTCTGCTAACAACTTGTGCTTGTCAGTCGCTAGATGGCCCGAGTCCAGGCATAATGAGCTACAACTATTTATTATGACAGATAGATATTTCAGATGTGATCTAAAGCTTTCTCATTCTACTTAAGCCTTGCCCAGTGACCAGCACTCCGACCCGAAATCATTGGCACACCCAAAACACACCCGTGACAAGTCATTTTTCGACCCAAACATACTTTCGGTAACAATCACAATCACTAATATCTGCCTCGACCCCACCCGGTCCTAACTCCGGCCTTAACTCCGGCCATAACTCCGGCCATAACTCCGGCCATAACTCCGGCCATAACTCCGGCCATTACTCCGGCCCTAACTCCGGCCATAACTCCGGCCATAACTCCGGCCATAACTCCGGAACAGCTCATGAACAGCATTTTTTCAGGTATGGGTTCCTCAGCCTCCTACTGCTGCAGTCTCGCCCTAGGATTGTTAACACTTTGTAATGGAGACATTTCTTCTGCGAACATTAACAGAATCTCTTACCAGGGCGAAAAGGTAACTAAAATCACACATCGCACCACAAAATTGAGTTAAACATGACTTTAAAAGTTATTTTAACTCAAATTAATACTATTTTAATCTACTTGAATTACACTTAAATAATTTTGTAGCTCTATTAAAAGATGTAAAGTATACTGTTGTCCAGTAGTACCACAACTCTTGAGCAGATATTGTGTTATACTACACTGTGCGAGTAAGACAAGGTTCCTCTCACCTTGTTCAGGAGATGGACATTTAGCCAAACATGGTTTAATGGTAGCAAGACCCGCCCTGCCGTCATTTTAATATAGAGCGTTTTAAAAATATTTAACAACGCCTTTAAGATAGCGCTGGTAAACTGGATCAAGTATAATTTTACAATATCTAATGCTCCTATAAATTCTTTAATTAATTGTTTGTCCCGTTATTCTTTTTCCTTCCTCTTTTCCTTGTCATCCCCTTTAGTTTTAAGATTCTTGCTATAAATGGCTACAGCTAACACTATTAATGCTAAGTACCAAACAACAAGTGGGAGGTGGATCGTTGGTACCATTAAATCGATTTAACACCGCAATTCCAGTCGCAAGCCTGGGACCACTACTAGCATAGTCACAACATCTACAAAGCTGCCATATAGCCTGACTGACAATTTTCTCGACTGACTGACAATGTTTCTTCTTTTTCCCCATTTAGAATACAAAGATTAGTACATTTTAGCTTATGATTAATATTATATTTTTACCTATAGTTTACTTAGATTGATAAATGAACAATAAATGGTATTAGGGAGTAGCGTAAGTTTGATGTCATGGGCGTGGTCGGTTCCACTACAAGATTGTAGTGGATTATTTTCAAGGGTCAGTGCACATTGCGTAACCGGTTAAATATATGACTATCCAGTAAATCATGCTCTGTCAGTCATGCTCTGTCACACTCGGCAAAATAGCTCTCATGAGATTTATGCTCTTAAACTGATTTCAATGTCAAATAATGAGCCCGGCCAAACTCCAAAGTTAAGTCAGCATCTGGTTACTTTAACTAGATGATAATATGGTCTAATTTAGCCGATGGTAAGGATTTTATTCGTGGCCTTATTTCAGAATATTTAAATGTTTAAAAAAGTCTATAATCTTGGCATTTCAACACTAAGTCTCGCTTGAATGACTTAAATGTACATCTTTGTTGGGTATATTTTAATGTCAAAGCGTGTAATAAATGTTAGAATTTATTTATTTATTATATTATTTATTATTATTATATTTAATATTAGTGAGTCTACTAGTATAGAATCTGAAACATAATATATTAATGAAATATACGATTATAAACAACTCTTTAATTTCATATGCAGCACTCCGTTTCTTAATTTTACTATTAAACCCTCTCTAGTTTATGTTATATATTGAGACATGGCATCACGATATTATAGTGATGAGCTAGTTTATAGTTCTTATCTGTTATTCTGCACTTATTTACAAATTTCCGATTATTTATTTTTTTGATTAGGCCACAATTTAAAGAATAATTTTGTCACTGACCGTACCTGTATACTGTATAGTGTACATTCTGATCTCAAAACATTCAATAAAAAACTCTTATACATACATTATTTTGAGACTGTCTTTTGAAGTTTTGAGACAGCTAACACAATAACACTGTAACAGTCTAACAACTTGTGAAATGTAGAAAAGGTATCTTCTAAAGTTTGCAGCTAATGGCCACTTAAAACTTACATTCAGATAACAATAGCGACATATAACAGTGTCTTAGTGTCTATCATCTCTAGTAGTGTAACAGAAGTCAGTGTTAGGGTCCCACTGCACTGTCACGTGTGCTGAATACCAGACTAATGTCCCTCTAAGCCTCTAACATAGCCAGTAACATTTGTCTCTATTAATAACCAGCTTATTTTATAGCTAGGTAAAATTAACAGTGTTATTTTTTTTAGGTATTTCACGGCACCCCCTCCGGAGTAGACAACACCGCCTGCACCTTTGGAGGATGTATGATGTACAACAAAACCCGGCAGAAGGACTTCTGTCCAGTTCCCGCCAAAACCACCCCTCGTCTCTTGGTTATAAACTCTAAACAAGTCCACAACACAGCCGCTATAGTCGGCCAAGTTCGACTACAGCACCACAAGCTCACTAACACTTTCCAGCGCATCGGTGAGATAGCACTGGAGGGGGAGGAGCGCCTGCGGGCAGGCAGGGATATCAGCGCCCTGATTACAGAGAACCATAACCTGCTGAACAGTCTGCCTGCAGTCTCTAACCAGCACACTGACAGAATAGTACAGATCTGTCGGGACTATGGGGTGTCTGCTAAGATTACAGGAGCTGGAGGGGGCGGGGTTGTTATTGGCATCATCAACCAGCACACTCACAACTTGGGGGATCTGATCAAAAGTCTGAAAATTGCGGGGTATGAAGTGCTGAAGGACCTGGAGACTGGTGTTGCGGGAGTGCACGTGGTTGAGGAGGACACATATCTGCACTGTTCTGAGTGGACAGAGTGTTCCTCTTAAGTAAGGGTGCATTTAGGTTATATCGTCCTACTCTGGACAAGTGCTGGAATACCAGTAACAACACTCATAGGCATTTTAGCTCACTTTTATATAGGCAAAATATTATATTATATGGTTACATTTGACCAAAACCCATAATCATGGGTAGAGTGAACCGCTGCCAGTGTCTCTCTTTTCCAAACAAAAGAAAATGATATTAATTTGAGGAACCGTCCGCAAATGCAAATTGATACCGAGAATGAAATCGGTCGCTCGCTTTTCCCATTCAATAAGCTTTATTACAATACGTAAGCCGTGAATGAATGGGAAAAGCGAGCGACCGATTTCATTCTCGGTATCAATTTGCATTTGCGGACGGTTCCTCAAATTAATATCATTTTCTTTTGTTTGGAAAAGAGAGACACTGGCAGCGGTTCACTCTACCCATGATTATGGGTTTTGGTCAAATATCATCTCTTTTTGATTATAATGTCAGGATAATTTACACAGTCGAAACTTAATAAGGAGGTAATTTCAACGATTTCGAAATTTTACCTTTGAAAACGTTTCCTTGTGTTTAGGTAGGCATATCTGTCAATAACAGACTGAATATAGCACTTTTTACTCATTCAAGTTGGCATTAAATTCATATATAATGCCATTTTAATATCGTGGGAAAGCAGAATATATTCGAAATCACGAATGAGCAAAATTCTCACCTTTCGCACGTGCAAACTTTGAGCGGACGTTGCGTGCGCATAAAATATTGAATCACCATAAATTTTTGCATAGTGTTATTTAATATATAGTTTGATAAGCATGAAAAGTTTCAGAAGATTTCAAAAAGAACTTGGATCACAACGGGACTCCAAAGTTGGTAAAAATCGTGAAAATAACAATTTTTAGTGATTTTAGCTATTTTAAATGAATTTGGGCGTGTCCCCACGTGTGCAACTTTTCGATTTTCAACTTTAAAACTAGCCTATAACACAATTTAGACCTTTAGGAAGCAAAATTGAGCTCCACAACCCAAGGGATGGCCCAACACCAGAGAATACTAATTCACAACTTTTGTGTTTTTATAAAATTATTCTTCAAAAAAGCACAAACTTCAATAGCGAATATCTTTATGAAGGAGCAAGGTAGGAAAACTTTCCGGTAGATTTTCAGAATGCTTGAACAATTATCTAAGATGAAAATGTCCTCAGATTTTGAATAAAATTACTCCTTAATGCTTTAAAATCGATTTGAAAAGTTGTTATTTTGTCAAAAATCAAGTTTTAAAAACACTTTAATTGATGACGTCATCAAGTGATGATGATGACGATAAATTATTTTTCGATATAATGTAAACTAAAGTATAAACAATTATCTTTAAAACCTGTGGTTCGAAATGACTGTATCTTATATACTTTTGAATCTACGGACACTTAAATGTAGGCTACAATTTACTGCAAAAGCGTCTATACATATATACATATATATATACATATATAGCTTCACGACAATCTGTTGTAAAACAGGGGTTCCAGAAAACCCACTTCCCGATACTCCTGCAACATGAAATTTTTTTTACAGTCGATTTGGACAAGGTCTAGACGCTCTGCAAAGTTTCAGATCTCTAACTCAATTTTAACATGGTTTTTAAGGCACCTGAATATGGCGATTTTGGGTTTTTTACCTAATTTCGTATAACATGCTGGCGCGTATTTTGCGCAAATTTCTTAAAAACCTCCACATAACTATTTCTTATTCCTGTCATCATTAACATTGAATTAGAATGTTTTGAACTTAAATATACCTGCTGAACTACTTTCGATGAGTCTTAATGCCTGGAAAACAATAAAGGGGATATAATAGTATAGGGGGTACATAGTGTTGTGAATATAAGGGCAACGGTTATGCTTGCCAGCATTGTGATACTTAGACCATAATACTTCAATAATAATTTAATATGTGGTTTTGCTTGCGGTACATGTTCTAGATTATTCCTTACACGGATTCGACCTATAATTGAGATCATTTCCGTCCTTGGGCGAAAGTTAGGTTTGTTGCAGAAGGAGTGTTTTATCTGGATTCGTGTTCAATAATTAAAATGCAGCAGGTGAAATTTACCGCAAGCAAAATTGAAGTGTATTTGATTGGAATATTAAAGCGATCTCTAGTTTTATAATATTTGTTCAGTTTATTAATGTATAATCATAATATAAGTTTGAGAATATTTGGACGGGTTTTTGAGTGAGGGAATTTTCGTCTTTTAAACGGCAAACATAATCTATATAATAACCTATAATATGATCTATATAATATATTAATATACTTATGAAGTTATAATTCTAGGCAATGACTTGAATATATTTGATTTGTAATTTGTACATTTTTGATGTATATTGAATGTAGAGTATGTCGATTGGAATGGTTTATAATTGAAACAGTATTTATAAATTTGTATTACTTTTTGTTACATTCATTCCTAATAATCTTTTATAAGATAATTAGGAATGACATTTGTCGCTTGACCCCCTGAAACTTTTAGACATTTCTGGAATTTCGCAAAATATTTCAACCTGTCCTGTGTTTTCACTTCTAGCTTTTAATCTTGTCATTCAGGATTTTTATTTTGCTTTTCAGCCTCTTGCTTTTAGTTATTTTAATGTTTTGATCTAGTGTTTCTAATTCTTACTAATCTCAGCCAGCGAATTTTTTCGTTGTAAAATTTCTTGTCGTAAAATGAGATTACCTTTTGTACATGTTTGAATAATTATACAGTTTAAATATTGTTTCAAGCTTATGTATGTGTATCACTGCGAATCCATTAATGTAAATTCAAAACCACCAACTTAGAACATTGCGGTTTATTCACAATCAAATGTCGAGATTGTATGTTTTTCAGAATCTCAAAGAACAAACGTGTCAACTCAGGACTTATTCTTGGATTTTCTACGCTTTGCTTCATGAACAAGTCCAATAAAAATGTACTTCCTACCCGACCTAACGATGTGCAATAAACATCACCTTTACAATACGTGTACTCAACACGGGCATTGACCACATACAGTAAGTTGTAGTACCATATATTACACAACATTACCATTGTAAGAGATAGGTGTTAAGTAGCGCCTTACAGTACAATACTTTGGGAGAGGGGGGGTCTCATGCCACATATTTTTTGGCGTAAGACCCCCCTCCCCCGGACCCTCACCTACAATGATGACAGCTACATTTTTGTGCTGTGCCAATAGAATATTACTTGTGCAATTTGATCCCATTGTACGGGTAGAAGTAAATGTTCTAGAATCTGCCTTAACAGGTGGCAGTTTCAGTAATTATCGTCTCACTCTCCCATTCAGCCCTCTAGCTCTGACGTCACCCTCGATTAAATCCCACCCTGTACATAATCCTAGATAGGAGGCAATATTTCTGTAGAATTATTTATGTGGTAAGTGTGAGATTTATACAGAATATTCCAGAACATATGTATGAGAGCGTGTGATTTGTACTAAATATAAGCTGATTATTCTAGAACTTATAAAATTGGATTATAATTCGGACTTAAAGTTGATGGACCGATTCCACCTAGGTTGAAGGGAGCACATGACACTGTCTGTTTGATGGTGACGCTAAAAACCGGCCTATGGTTGCTCTGGTTGGTGGTCTTCTCCCTCCTTCTCTACCTCCGAGGATTTCTCCTCACTAAGATAGAAATAGAAAAGTTCAGCACGTGTCATGATTATGCGCGGGAGGACTGCTGGAGTAAACCGCGGTACAAGCGAGCCGTTCTGGTGCTGATAGACGCGCTGCGCCATGACTTCACGCTCTACAACTCATCTGTTGAGAACCCGGAACCTTGGCAGAACAAGATGCCGGTTTTTTCAGAGCTGCGCAAGCAATTCCCTGAACGCACCAGACATTTGGAGTTTATCGCCGACCCACCCTCAGCAACATTTCTACGTCTCAAAGGACTCACCACTGGGGGATTACCCACGTTTGTAGATATGGGTAGTAACTTCGGAGCGAACGAGATCACGGAGGACAGCTGGGTCAAACAGCTCTCACTGCACAAAAAGAAGCTGGTCCTCCTCGGAGATGACACCTGGATGAGCATCTACAGCAAATACTTCTACCGTTCATTCCCGTACCCCTCATTCGACGTGTGGGATCTACATACAGTAGATAACGGAGTGTGGTCACACCTCCTACCCCAGATGAGAACAGAAGACTGGGACGTGATCGTGGCTCACTTTCTGGGGGTGGACCACGCCGGGCACCGCTACCACGTCAACCACCCTGAACTGTCCAGCAAGTTAGAGCAGGTAAACCAGTGGGTGGGCGAGATAGTGAGGGAGGTGGAGGAGGACACGGTGTTGTTTGTGTTTGGTGATCACGGTATGACAACTAGTGGTGATCATGGTGGGGAGACGGCTGATGAGGTCACCTCCACCTTGTTCGTGTACTCAGGCTCCAAACTGGGTGCTGTGAGCCAGGAGGAATCTGCTCTGTTTGATCCTGAGCGAGTATTTCAGACTGATCTGGTCCCCACTCTGACTTTATTGTTAGGTGTTCCTATACCTTACTCCTCGTTAGGGTCAGTTATTCCCTTCCTATTCTTGGACGACAACTCTGAACAGAGTAGAACTGATCTTCAGCTGGCTCTACAGACCAATATGAACCAGGTCTTCAGGTACATCGAGGCTTACTCAATGATATCCAGCGAGTTCAGTCCATCTGAAATATCCCAAATAAAAACTAAAATCGAAGATCTGAACAAACAAATCACAGAAACATCTGGCCAGTACTCATTTACTGTTGTTAAAGAATTGAAGCAAGTTATTCGCCGAATCCGTGACTTGTGCTCCAAACAATGGGCCCAGTTCAACCTGCCGGTCATGGCACTTTCTATATCCCTCATGATACTGCTATCTGTAAGTCTCATAGCTACTTCCTCCTTATCAGTTACCTGGTGGCTCTCACTTCCGGGTGTACCCCTGCTTATTATCAGTTACGACAGTTTGTCCCTATGGACTGGGGCTACTCATTTTGTCACTGTTTCTCTGACATTTGTCACTATCGTTGCAACTTTCTATGCTCCTGTTAGGTTAAAATTATCTTCGTTTATGTGTAAAGCGGGTGATTTGATTAAATCATTCAAGGAACGCGGGGTATCTTATTTATTAAAAAACAGTCTTCAGATTTATTTCCTAGATGTTGCTGGAATTGTTATCATATTTTTCATGAGCGTTGGCTTCATGACAAACAGTTACATCCTAGTTGAGGACTATGTGACTGTACACTTCTTTGGAACACTTCTCATAATTAACTACCTGTTAAAGAAAGGAACTAAACCCTCATCAAAACTAATACTAATATCAGTATTAGCGGGAACAGCTTCCCGGCTATCAACCACATTCTTTGGATGCCGTGAGGAGCAGTTCTGGTGCGGTAAAACCTGGTGGCTGAGTACCGAGGTGCCCTCTCACGTACGGAGTTATAAGTATGTGGGGAGTGTGGCAGTGTTCCTGGGTACCATGTACGGACTGTATAGATACCAGAAGGAGCAGGGGTCTCTGATGAGAGGAGGGCTGAAGTTTGTACACTGTACAATCCACCCAGTACAGTGTGTACTGGTAGTAGTCTACTGGGCTCTCTCTGCCTCCACCACCAAGGTGCTGACAGAGGTGCAGATGTGCTGGTTACCGCGCGCCGTCTACTTGTTAGCCGTCCTGGCAGTGGGTGTTGTGGTGTACGCACCGTGCACTGTGCGTGTACTGGACACGGGCAGCACACCCCGGATGTACGGTGCAACGTCCTGCTATTCTGCTCCTTCTCTTGCAGTTTACACCACACTGCTACCTGTGTGCGCACTGCTGCTGCAGTACAGTGCTGCGCCAGCACTAGCGCTTCTTACTGCGCAGTTAATGTGCACCTCCCGGCTAGCTGAAGGGAGTAGTGTCGTATTCAAAGTCATGATATGTCACGTGATAGCTGTGCAGTATTTCTACGCTACTGGACACCAAGCAGCTGTTCAGCAGTTTGATTGGAACGCAGCGTTTGTTGGGTTCACCTCTCACCCATACCACGCGCTACCAATATCTATGATAGCGCTGCGAACTCTCATGAGTTTTGTCTTGGTGAGCTTGTTCCTGCCCACTATAGTGCTGCAATCTCCCGCCCCAACAGGGCCTGCTCAGGAGGTAGACTTGGGTGATCCTCAGAATACAGCTCAACTTCAGTTTTACATCAACAGAGAACTTCTCAGTACCACACTCCTTTCTCTCCTCCACTCCTCTACAGCACTTACTCTCTTCAAGTGCACACTGGCATGCGCTGCCTGCTTCATCCATCGCAGACATCTTATGATTTGGAACATTTTCACGCCGCGCATGATTATTGAGATGTGCTTTGCGGCCTGTTCCAGTGTGGTTGTGCTCTGTGATTTGGTCTTGTTGGAAAGGACAGATAAGATATTGAGGGGAGAGTTAGCTAAAATTAGTAAGGCAATTTAGTTTTGTATCAAGTTTATAATCTCTGCTGTTTAAATTTATTTGAGAGTTTGATCTTTAGATTGATGATCATGTAGGACGTGAATTGAAGCGTAAAGGAAGTGTGCTTTGAAATAATAATTAATATCATGTACTTCTGCATTGTTCAGCGATTGATAATTATCAATATTATTTAGTTAATTACTCCTTCAGAGGGGTTTGGAACGAAACTTTTAATCGGATTGTTGTTATCTACTTAAATTAAGTCGGGGTTGTTGCTTTACATTAGCTAATAGAAAATCAAATATTTAATTTATTTTTACGAGTTTCTATTTTCTTTCATGTTGCATGGTACGATGTTACATAGTTTTGCTTTTGAATATACTTAGTTATTAGTTTTAGAATTAGGAGTGTTATTATAATTTTCTTTAGAATTGAAGAAAATATTATTTTTTGTTTACATTGAGTTTACGTCCCAGCTTGTTATACATTTAATATCTATTCCATAATTCATTATCGTTTATGGTATTAAGCAGTCTATGGTAGTCAACATTCTGTTAAATTTAAATGTAGAAAAATCTATAGTTTATGCATCCATCCACATTCCATAAGCAAAGCGATATTCTTACAACTCTAATTGAAATCATGTCAGAAAATGGCCCGAAATTAAGTTCATTCGCCGTCCACTTGCTTGAAATACAAACAGTCAGTGTATCCATAATGCAATTTATTTTCCACCACAAATCGGTCGATATCTATCAACACACTGCACTGCACTAATTAATGAAGAAACAAAGGCTCTGCAGTGAGCTGCACTAATGTGCTGGCTTCTCTCCAATAAATGTAGATTATCTGTCGTCGTAGTGGAGAATACATATTATATATCAACAGAGCAGCATGTGTTGTTTTATGCTCAGCTACAATATATGCGAGTGGGTCTGTATTTGTGGTTATAGTGTATAATGTATATTAGCTGTGATATTATGTTGGCTGTATTACTAATATTGTCTTGTACAATGTTAAATAAAGTTTAGCTTAGTTAAAGTCATAAAACCTCCTTATAACTGGTTCCTCTCAAACAATAACCCTCCTCCTCCTCTGTAGATGGCGTGTAGAGTTGCTGCGCGCATGGCTGCCCTGGCTCGACCAGTCGGCGCGAGACTCATGTCATATGATAATACACGGTCTCATCTCAGTGTTAACAAGGACACTAAAGTTATCTGCCAGGGAATGACTGGTAAACAGGTTTGTTTGTTTGTTTGTTTGTTTGTTTGTTTGTTTGTTTGTTTGTTTGTTTGTTTGTTTGTTTGTTTGTTTGTTTGTTTGTTTGTTTGTTTGTTTGTTTGTTTGTTTGTTTGTTTGTTTTTTTGTTTGTTTGTTTGTTTGTTTGTTTGTTTTTTGTTTTTTTTTTGTTTTTTTGTTTGGTTTGTTTTATAGACTGACTCTCCTCCTTCCCCAGGGAACACTGCACACAACACATTCTATCCAGTATGGAACTAACATGGTAGGTGGAATATCTCCCGGTAAAGGAGGACAAACTCATCTTGGAGTGCCAGTCTTCAACTCTGTAGCTGAGGTGAGAATACTAAACAGACTGTTATTAGTCTTACATGTTAAATGTGAAATTTGAGGTGGCAATTATTCTTCATTTTCTAATAATATCTATATTCTGAGCCTAATTTTAATCCTTGGATAGTGAACATAATATATTGTTCTTATTCAGCGCTTTCTTCACTGTCAAGCAAACCATTTATTTCTTCTAGAAAGTTAGAAGACTAAATATTGCGTGTATATTTAATATTCCAATACACTGTGCACGACTGTAGGTGTGAGCTGTTTATTCTAGAAAATTAACTTGATGAACTTTTTGTTGATCAAATTTCTAAGAGATGTAGCTTGGAGGATAAATAATTGGCGTGCACTAGCAGTAGCTGATAGGCGACTAACTGGTTTTACAAACGGAACGTTTGCAAAACTGATTGTTAAATTTAAGTCACGTTTTAAGTTAAAAACAAAATAATCAACATCAATCAATATACAGTTATACAGAGAAAATGTGTATGTTTACTGTTTATTGTTTAAACATAATGACAACTGAAGTTAAGATGCTGTATAAACATCGTGATTTATTTCACTGATAACTACTAAACTATTTCTCTGCATTAATTTGTATGTAAATATCTAGTTCACTAAAAATATATTGATCTAATATAATAATAAAAATGTCAAGTTGATCACGGTTCCTTGGTAAAAACGTTAAAATACAATTGCAAGTTATTTAAATGGTGCTCAAGCTATCAAAATAAAAGTCTAAACCAAACTGTCTTGTTGTTTTACATGCTGTGAGAAGATGTGTTAAACTTCAAAACAGTAACCTGCCGTTTATCCAGGCTAAAGAAGTGACGGACTGTGACGCCTCAGTGATATACGTTCCTCCACCCTTCGCTGCTAAAGCAATAATGGAAGCAATAGACGCTGAGATTGGTCTTGTAGTCTGTATTACTGAGGGCATTCCTCAACTGGTATGTAATCCGCTGTTTTTAATTATTTCTCCTTGTTATGTTTAGTTTACTTTAGATGTTACTACTTCTGGGTACTTCTGAAACTCAGTCCTTTAATAACGACCAAACTGGCCAAATGAATCATTCCGCTTCCTGTAATTGGCTGGTTACACTTGTGTAACAATGTGGCTGTTTTTTTTTTTTTTTTTTTTTATGTTGGGGCACCCACTTTACCTCCCTATTGGGAGGCTACGTCCGTCAATTAGTGACTAACGTCTATTGGGGTTCCTCTGGTTGTAGGTGTCAGTAGGTTTGGGTCACTTGGCATGGGCTAGTGATCCCGCCCCTCCAGAGGATAAAGCCTGGTGAGCGACGTTTCCCGTAAGGGAAACTGTCATAATGCTCGTTCACGGGAGAACACCACCCATGCCTGGATGTTCTCCCGGGTACTCGATAGAACAGGCTGCCCCCTGTCATTCTAGTGGGCTGACAGGAACCTACCAGGCATGCCTGAGCCTATGATGTAATTCTCCCATATCTTTGTTGTTTTTGTGTTATATCTTTGTCTTTGCGCGGCTCAATTTCCGCGCTATACTAAATAAAAGTGCTGATTCACGAATTTACATGCGATATTTGAATTTTGAGTAGACCCTTTTTTGTCGCAATTTGGCAATTTCTTTGTTCACGTAGTTATTGCTAATTTTACGTTTGCTGATAATAATCTAAGTGCTATATCTCCAATAGCTGGCAGTTTGTCTGATTGTTAGATCCCCTCTAACTGGTAGCGGCCCTAAGGCTGGCAGTTTGTCTGATTGTTAGATCCCCTCTAACTGGTAGCGGCCCTAAGGCGGCATGTGAGTGAATGAGTGAGTAAAAGTGAGGTGTAGGAGAAGTGGGGAAGAAAACATGAATATGAAAGTATGGTACACTGTTGCCAGCTGACTCACCAGCAACAATGCAAGTCCAAGAAGAAAGAAGGAGAGACACTGTCCGTTATCTGGGTGTGCCACCACCGACAGTGCTCCCACTTCTGTGGGGCCGAGGGTGTTGGCTCCAAGAACCAGCCGTGAGCGAACAGCGCCTGACCCCCCCTATGGTTAACTTTAGAATAACAGGACTATGCTTTTCTCCAGGCCAATCCGTTCAGTAACCAGCTGACCCCGCACCACCTCTGATGGAAGATGTGGTTCGGATTGGACTTCGCTAGGATTTGTCAGTTTTTCTGTAGACACTAATGCTCCCTCGAGGAAAGACATGAGCCCCGGCGAAGCTGACCAAAAACGTGGCAGGGATTCTCACCCTACAATGTGGCTGTTGGAATACTCCGAAGTAAAATAAGTGTGAGATAAAGAGGAAATGTTTTTTTTTCAGGATATGGTTAAAGTGAAGAAACATTTATTGAGCCAAAGCAAGACAAGATTGATAGGACCAAACTGTCCTGGTATCATTAAACCAGGAGAATGTAAAATGGGAATCATGCCTGGACACATTCACTTACCTGGCAAAATTGGTAGGTTTGTTAATCTGTTGCGATTATACCGGCTTTCCTCCGTTTAGGACAGAAATTGCTAATTAGGCGTGGACACGCTTGAACTATTTCCTAATTTCCCGCTCCGCATTCCAACTGTGCTCAGACAAATAAAGTTAGGATCTGGGAACGCCGCCTTAATGAAAGGAATGCAAGGGTGGTTGAATTTCTGGACTTACAATAATTAATTGCTTTCCAGGAATCGTATCAAGATCAGGAACCCTGACATATGAAGCTGTGGATCAGACTACTAAAGCTGGACTCGGACAGACTCTATGTGTTGGTGAGTACAATGTTATGGTGAAAACATCATATTATTGGCGGTTCTTATCCTCTTCGCGCGCCTTTCGAGACGCGCGTCAGTACTGCTGACTACTTTGCCCTCGGTGTGATTTTCATTAAAATCGTTTACAAAGTAATCATCGCTCACATTTGCTGCACGCATGTTCTCATGCAGTCATTTCTAACGTGTCTACATCTGTGCAACGCATGTGACATTACATTTACTCAGGTATCGGAGGAGATCCTTTTAACGGAACAAACTTCATCGACTGCTTGGAAGTGTTCCTGAACGATCCTGAAACCAAAGGTATGTGAATATGAAACCAGGTATTTACTTCATTTTATCGACAGATTACTTTATCTGCAGTGAAACGATTCAGATATGGCCACTAGAACTTCCACTTTTCAGTTTCTTTACAGAATAAACACGGTATCCTTGCACGTAATTGTGTCGTTGCCAAATGCGGTGTGTTAAAAATATGTGGGAGTTTATTGTACAGAATCCAGTACATACAGTTTCCCATAACGCTGAAAAGCACTATAATTGTGATCATTTCCAGGAATTGTGATGATAGGAGAGATTGGTGGAAGTGCTGAGGAACAAGCAGCAGACTACCTTAAAGAACACAACTCTGGTCCTAATGCCAAGCCAGTGGTGTCCTTCATCGCAGGAGTGTCTGCTCCCCCAGGACGTAGGATGGGACACGCAGGAGCTATTATCTCCGGAGGAAAAGGAGGGGCTGAGGAGAAGATAGCAGCACTAGAGGCAGCTAATGTCAATGTTACAAGGAACCCTGCTATGATAGGAACTTCATTAGTTCAGGTAATTTTGTAGCTCACTAAGCGCTGTGTCATCGTAGTCAGTGACAGAATGACAGGTTTCTTACTTGAAAACCTGACAACGTTATTGATTTACAATTAAAATTAGTTTTATAATCGTAATTTGTCTGTGAAACCTTTTCGTCAATTAATTTCGTTAGAATACTACCGAATCTTACCTGAACGAGTATTGAAAGGAATTATTTGGTCAGAGGGGCGCTTTTTATTAGACCCTTTTTAAGAAAAGAAATGGGGATCCTCAATATTCGTTGAGTAATCAAGTATTTGTGAAGAATCGAAATTAGTTCACTTCTGCTCCATGTTGAAAGACCACTTTCTCCTCAGATGATGATCTAAGAAAAACGCGAGGCTCTTCGATATGTCCCGGCGTATGAAACTAACTAGGATTTAGATCTAATCCTTGACTGATTAAACTATCTTCTGTTGCACCATCTGATTTGACCTTTGTGGGAAATAATATTTATACGTAGTACCTTAAACAGGATTAATAAGCAAAGGACGTTTTTAAGTCGTTTTTCGTTTTGGAATTTGTACATTATGAAATGTTGATTATATGAATGGATATTTAAGTTATAGACAGATATAAATTGGGTATTACTTCATCTTATATAATTAATGCACCAAAGTCTAGCGGTAATATTACGATTATTTATTTTTCTAAATCGAGTTTTCGCTAATGTGGGTAATGTCTAGTTACGATCAGCTGTATCCATTTTTCTTATTATTAAGAGTCATTCGTAATCACTGAGGGGATTCTTAATAATAACGCTTGTGTAATCTAAACATGATAGCTAGTGTAAAACTGATTACTGATGGGGGGGGGGGGGGGGGGTTGAAAATGGCCAAAAGGTGATTACGTTGTATAATTATATGTGAACGACCCATTATCTAGATTGTAGCTCAAAAACCAAATAGTCACCCACTATAAGTTGTTAATAACTTAAAGTGTACGTACTCAATGTGGTTAAGGGCAAAAATTTAGCTAAATTTTCTTATGAGCAAGCTTGTTAGCTTGTCATGACGTATGCTCTACTACTTGTTGGAGGACGTCGCCGCATCGAAGATCACTGCTCTGCTTAGCATCAAGTACTATAAGTAAACCTTACGAGACATAGTACGAGACATGGTACGAAAGTCTGTGGTGTTTCGAAAAAAATACCATATTTTCGGACCAAATTATTTTTCAAGTATTTTTCCTGAATTATGACTTAACTATATATTACTAATAGTAAGTTATAAATATGATTCATCAAACAAATCAACGCTAGTATTCCATATCAATAAAATGATTTTGGACACGTTCCATTATAAATAAGCAAACTCTGTCACTACTTTATTGGCCACGGCGGTGAAATTTCTGTATTATTAGTGGAAGATAACAAACACTGTCGGTCTCTTATACCGTCTGGAGGATGAGAAGTTAAGTTTAGGCTAACTTTCAAAGGCTCCGGAGAAATTGTTCACAAGATGAAACAGCTGATCAGAGAAGATCTTTCTATTTAATTCCCTCAAATATTGGGTTTCATTTTTGTAAAATAAGGGTGAAGAAATCCCCAAATACCATGATTAAATTTGGGGTACGAAATTTGGCGGATGATACTCGTAAAATATTTTTTCCAAATATTAAAACCGACGACGACCCCAACTCGTCGCTTGACGTACGTTGCATGCCACTTTTCGCGCGTATGATACGCAACATGTATCAACTCGTCGCGCGTCTTTGTACTTGTAGGTTATAAACCAGAAAAAATCCCCATATTTTCGTTCCCAAATCATTAATACTAATAGGTCACCGGAATTATGTCGCGTCGAACATATATAATATATGTCTCGTAAGGTAGTATTGTAATCAATACTACTGGATATGATAATGAACGAAGTCCGTCGTTGGCCTTAAAATAGCGCGAACGGGGCATGACTGATCACTGATGAGATACGCGGCGCACAGAAACTGGAAACTGCACTGCCAGTTGCAGTGGCCATGGACCCCGATACCAGATGCACACGCCATTCAATTAAATGAACCAAATGAACGTATAGACAATAATAGCAGGTCCTTTCCGTATTACATGGGGGCAAACTGCAGAGTGGTTTACTCAACCGCTTCTGAATTTGCTGCAGGGTAGGCCGCAAGACTTTGAGTATCCAATTCAGTCACGCAAAACAGCTCTAATTCTAAGTATGTTTAGTTAATGACGAAAGCTTAGCCAGTGATTTTTACGCAATGCCGGTCTACACAATTATAATAGTGATTTCTACACATAACAATACTATACACATTTAGAATAGCGATAATTTGAAGTGTCTAGGTTACTGAATTTTATACACACAAGCTCGGGCGTTTAAAACCGTGAACAGTGAAGGCAGAATCCAACTCATAAGCTTTATGTTCAACCAATATCGCAGCTTATCAATTATATTTTACCAGTCCTTCCGAATCGGTAAATACTGTCCTTCACCAATCACCATCTCTTCTGCAAAAGATACTAATCTGCAGTTAAGATTTCAGTTTTAAATTAAACTGACGTCTCATATGTACGGCTGAAAACCCAATACAATGTCCGTTTATCTAGAACACTAGCTGACTACTCGATGTTTATTACATGGTTAACCCGTGATACGGAGTTACGTAAAATACGTGGACAGGACCGTTAAAAAACATTAAATGTTTCTACAGCACATGCAATGAATAACCAGTTGATTCCGTAAGTGTATCCGAGTATATTAAAGCAATCGGGGGTATCCTAGCAGTCATATTATTGAAACCGTTTGGTGGGACCATATCTTGACAGTAAACCCTCGCTGCTGAGCGGCGAGATACCACCGCCATTCTCAGATCGTCACTGCGCGCACAGCATTTCTTGACTGACACAACCGAAGTTTTCATAACTATTTAGCGCTCTCGGTAGACCCTTTCTGGAATTTTGTGACCGCCCCATTGCGTGAAACTGCCTTCTCCTCTTCTTTTCAGTGCAACCAACGAACTGTTTTTTTCTTTCCTCTATTTTCAGTTAACATTTAGAGGTATTTCAGATTTTTAATTTATCCGTACCGGATTGTAAATAGAAGGATAATGATAGTCTTCGTTAATGCAAAATTAAATGACACAGTCGAAGAACAACATAGGAAGGTTACATACAAAATCTCCCAGCAAATAAGATGTTCAAATCAAAAAGAAATTAGGAAAGGTAGTTGAACAAGTAGCCGCAGGGCACAGCCTTTATCCCCAATACATTAAACTGAATCGTTGTCCTGGTTACACAATTCGCAAAATTATGCTAAACAAAATCTCGAAGGTGGCTGCGGAATCGTACATAGATTACCTCCACAACCCTCATTCGTGAAACAACCTATATTCTACCGTCCATTTGATCCAGTGCTCGTGTGTAATAGTGTGTGTGGAATGTCCGAACGTTAGGAATGTATGTATTTCGTCACAGCACACGGATTCCACGTCAATTTTCACGCCTCCCTTCCTCTTATTATTTTCACCAAGTATCCGTGCGTACCATGACCGTTGTGTTTGATGTGTCATTAGGTAAGACTTTGCAGAGAGCTACACCTCTGGCGGGAGCTTGTTTCATGACAGGACGAATAGTTTTGTTGGTATTTGGTACCGGAATATTGAGTCTCCCAGTAGAGCGCAGCAGCGTCTTCGACTCTCTCCCTGTACACACATTTGTTAGATGTGTTAGGTTTTACATGTGACACGAGTGATTAGGAGTCGAAACACATTTGTTTAGCCACGTGTTAAGCCACGTGACTGGAAGAAATAAACATTCTCCTCGATTGTAAAAGAAGTAGGCAAGGGTGTTTCGATACCATACCACCACAATTTTCATTATTACATTCTGTTGTTCAAAAAGATCAAAATTTTTTCTTCATGTCTAGACTTGAGTGTAGGTTTTAATCATTTCGTCAATGGAAGAAAGCAAAAAATATATAATTCTATGGTGATAAATAAAAAATTGCTACAGCTCCATTTGGTGGAAATGGAAATATAATGACAAAAACTTTCTGAACACTTCCAGTGGCTCGAACATAAAAACAATTTGCAACGACTAATAGCCAACTTTGATTTTCATTCATCTGCAGTCAAAATGATAAAAACATGGCCTGTGTTCAATACATCAAATACAATCCTTGAAAAATGCTGACAGTAGATAGAGGATAATAAACATGTATAAATTAGTTAATAAGGACGATAAGCACCACGACCGCCGCCGCGTGCACCACCTCTAGCCTTCATAGGACCACCCCCGGAGGGAAGTGTAGCACCATACTCTGACTCGTACCCAGGGTAACTTGAATAGCCAGACACAGCGCAGGGTGTTGGGTACCCTACTCTCTCGCTAGCACTATACCCTGGCGAGGCACTATATCCTGAGCTACCGTACTCTGCGTATGGATCATGAGCAGCGTATGGGTCTGCAGTTGAAGCGTAGGGGTCGGCAGCTGCATAAGGATCAGGATAAGAAGCATAAGGGTCGGTGTAAGAGGCGTCATAACCAGGGTAAGCTGTGTAGCTGGAGGGAGCATGGTGAGCAGCGCGGCCCCTCATCAGAGGTCGTCTGGTGGGCGGTGCAGAGTAACCTCCTGTAGGTGGACGGGATGGAGGGTAACCCGTGTGGGCGTGTGGTGGACCTCCTTCCCAACCTTCCTCTTCTCCCGCTGTTTTCTTCATGTTAGATTCTCGTTTTACTTTCTTCTGAATGGGGTGATTGTCCTCGAACTTCTTCTTGCACTCGACTCTGTATTTTCCGATATGGTGGACCACACTGCCAGGTGGTAGTTTACCCTCTACTATCTTCTCAACTGAGTTGGGATCTTCAAACAGGATGAAACAGAAATGTCTCCTAACTTGAGTCCCTTTCTCGAAGATAAACTCGAAGTTACTGATTTGTCCGAACTGACTGAAGTATTCACTGAGATCGTCCTCGCTAAGTGCATGTGGAAGTCCTCCACAGAATAGTTTGTTAGTCATGTTGTTGCCCGCTGTTTCTCCCGCTCGCCGCACCTGAACTTTCTTTCCGTCTATCTCGTGCTCTTTATTCAACACGCCCTCCAGCGACTGTTTGTCGTTAAAAACTACGAAACAAAAACCTTTCGAGCGACCGGTCTCGTTAAATTTCATGATTATCTCGCGGACATGACCGTAATGAGAAAAATAGCTTTCGATGGTTGTTTGGGTGGTGTTAAAATCTAATTGACGCACAATGATTTTACGGTCGTCATTATTTCTGCCATTTGATAACATTGCTGTCCTACAAAAAGATTTTCGTCAAAAACAAAACAGTCAAAAATAAAGAACAAGACGTAAATGTGCATCTCAAAAACCTGAAAATTGAAAAATTGTTAAATTTTTAGTTTCATTCGGGTAGGACAGCACCAAAAACAGCGTACCGGAATCCTGTAAAAAGCGTTAGTAAAAACCTGAAAAAAGAAAATAACCGTTTCGTTACCACTTTAATCGTTTGAAGCAAAGACCGTGACATACAACAATCAAAAATAGTAATTTTAAGTGGCAACACTAAGGTTACAGCCCAAATCTACTCTCAGTTAGATTCGAGGCTTGAGTAGATTTTGGATATTCAACCAACTATTCTAGCTTGATCTTTCATAATTTCAGGACAGTGTAATGATTTTTTAAGGCTTAACCATTTGAATATGTCACGAACAAATAAGCACATAGTAAAGATTGCGTAACAGTATCCAAAAGCTAATTTAATTTTCACTGCTAAAAGACTTTGTTTGATTGTTCGCAGATTGACTTTTCAGCTTACAACATCAAGTGATGTGGTAACTGGTAAGTCTACTTACTCATAAATTACTGTAAACAATGGCAACACACAGTACCATACATTTCACACCATCATGGAACATGGACAGTCTATTCAGATTACAATAATCCAGTACAGAACCTTAACCTACAACATATTATTCAGAGAGTAGAGCTGCTTTATTCTTAACTATACCTTTCACATTGCATTATAGAGACCTGCTGTGAGCTGCTTTATTGTTAATATGTGCAACTATAATACCTTTCACATTTGAAATAAAGACTGCAGAGCGCATAGTTCCACTACCTGAAAGTGCGCACAAATGAAATGGAATGATTCCTTCTGGCCCCAACTCAATAAATAAGGTTGACTAGTATGGTGTTTTAGGTATTTACTTCAGATGTAAGCAGTGTCATGCTCACCACTACGATTCTTCACAAGTCACACGTCATGTCAAGTCCGAGGACATATTAGGGGTCGTTCACATATTATGTAATCAGCCGAGGGGGGAGGGGGTTTCCGAATGCTAACGGTTGATTACGGGGGAGTGTAGTTTGAAAGGTGCTTGGCCGAATATAATAATATTGATTTCGGCTCATTATGATCAGGGCCAGGGTAGCATCAAACGTAAAGAAAATTGTTTCCAGGGAAAAAAGTCAAAAGGGGGTCGGGTCAGGCCATGATTACGTAATATTGCTGTCAGGAGGGGGGGGGGGGGGGGGGGGGGGGGGTTGGCTCTTGATTACGGAGGAGGGGGTAAAAATTGCTTAACTATTGATTACGTAATATGTAAACGACCCCTTGTGCACATCCCAACAATTCACACTACAACTTACACTTAGACCTACCTGACGAGACAAACGACTGTGTAATATTACACCCGCAAGTCTTTTTAATAAGATGTATATTCTCAATTCAGTCTCTCTGCCAAAATCATCAAAATTTTGACGAATGAACGGAAATGAATTAATCCTTTATCCCGTGCCGATAGATAATAATAGTTATATTGTCGCCGCGCAACAGATCCTGGAATTTAGTTGATCAGGAGTGTTTCACAGTACTGAACTATTTATCTTGACAGTGTACACTGTTAGTGTAAGTGCAGTTACTTAGGGACAAGTTGGCGGGTTTGATTTGCACTTGAGCCGCTCTTTTGTTATGTGAGTACTACCTTCACTCCAAATATTATAATACTGTCATCATGTGACAGGAAGCTTGTAATTAGACGTCAAACAGGCCTTCAAATTATCTACACTACTTGCTCCTTTATAATATCCACCGCACCGTCAAAGTGGCCTCTCCTTCAAATTATCTACACTTGCTGCCTTTCTTTCAAATAGACTAATCTCACTCCTTCATAATCTACCTCACTTGTCCCTTCTTAATATAAATCTGTTGCTCCTTGATAATATCTACACCTGTTATTGCTTCATAGTCTAAACCTATTGCTACTTCATTATGTGCACATCTTGCTCCTTCATAATCTAAGCCTCCTGATCTTTCATAAGTTTGCAGAATCTACACTAATTACCTTCTACACAACCGGCCCTCAACTCAGTGTTGCATAATAGCTGCTTAATGTTCACTTGTTACTGGAGATAGCTAGCTGATTCTGGGAATTTTCTATAATTGCAGCAATAAGAGACAAATAATCTTAAAATTTTCTTTACACTTAATCTATACGCACTCTCTATACAAGTGATAATTTTTACCAAATTTGGAAATTTGTGGGCAGCTAAGGTGAACCGAATTTGTTTTGACACGTGACAGTGATTCTGAGTTTGATCCTGAAAGCTGACAGCTTAATCAGGAGCAGAAAAGAAATGGTCCACCTCCCGGCTTCTTACCTAAATCTGTCGGCTCCTCACTGAGCCAGTATCCAGATCTATTATATATACACACAAATGCAAAGTCACCTGACAACTATTGCCAGCAAAATCTTTCATTGTACAACAAAATAATCCTTTGTTCGCTGCATATTATCATGGACATTAATAATATAAAATGCCATCTGTCATGACCACATGACCACTCCACACGTGACAGCTGACCACGAGATCTGTCTCCACCTCAAACAATCCGCCAGATAAACATCACATTAGAAGTTTACAGCTCAGTAATTCTCAACTATGTGTCTCTTCATATAATCGACCCCCAAATACATTCAGGCAGTGTAAATTTGGAAAGAAAAGCGATGTTAGTCCGTTTACTACACATCCTACGATCCGGGTGAGAGAGAAATAACAGCAAGGTCGGGCAGGTAGAGTGACTCACACTGCAAATTACCTGTAACCTCAGTTAGCAGAAAACTGATACAGTAAAGTTACACGACAATACAATAAAAGATGTCTCCTGATTCAGAAACTGCACCCGACCCCGGTCTGCGTCTGGTCCAGGTCGGCTCTTAATTTACACTCAGACTAGTTACCATGTGATTGTTCGTGGTGTTTCTTCTAATTTGAGTGGTACCTTCTAGTGTCTAGATCTGCTGCAAAATGTGGCCAATCTCCTTAAGAAGGTATAAAACTAGAGATCGTCCCACGTGTGTCCATGTGAAACACAGCCGGGGATCTTTTTCAGAGACACACAATATTAGTGATATTCAACATAATGACTGCATATTATGCTACATTATGATAACCCGCGATAACACAAAGCGCTCCTTGTGTTACACGTTAACCGATGTTAGTTATAAATAGAGTATCAGTAGCTCAGGACACTTCATTTTCAGTATTTTATTAGCCACATGGGGTGCTGACTATATAGGTAATTTACTGTTCAAATTGCCACTAATTTTCAAAGCATTGCACCGACTTCGTGCGAATGTTCTGGGTCAACTTGTCTACTTGAATAAAGTTAATATATTTAAGAGACTACATAAGGATCTCTAAGGAGACACAAGAGAGGTGTTAAGGGCACCACATTTTCACCGCATCACATAACGCGACGGTTCAATGACCACCTCACTAAATCAATGATGTTCCAGGAGGAAGACGACATCTCTGTTACAGTTGATTATTATCATATTATAATATTGTGTGTAAGACTTGTGTAAGCTGATGCTACAATTACTCGGAGCCGTGTTCCTTAACTTTCATGACAAACTAGCTAACACACACTCTGAGATTATAAGTGAGACAGGTCAGTTGGAAAGTTCTAGAACTTTACAAAGGCGGAGTGTAATTTAGTCTCCACGTTAGAAAGCAGCTCAACATCTGTACATGTAGTGCACATCGTTTACACGATCTAGAATACTGTGGATATTCAACTTGTTTCTTCGTTCTTCGAAAGTAGGTTTAAATAAATTCTATTGAGCTCTAGTTTCAGTCCGGATACTTGTGGAAGGCATGTTCCTGCAGCTCAAACTTGCAACCAGCACTGCGGCATACCAGCAATTATTCAACATATTCAACAGGCCGAGTTACATATTTGCCACGTGTAATGGTAATTACACAAACACACACGCTGCACACTATAACTAAACACGTTCTCTCTCTCTCTCTCTCTCTCTCTCTCTCTCTCTCTCTCTCTCTCTCTCTCTCTCTCTCTCTCTCTCTCTCTCTCTCTCTCTCTCTCTCTCTCTCTCTCTCTCTCTCTCTCTCTCTCTCTCTCTCTCTCTCTCTCTCTCTCTCTCTCTCTCTCTCTCTCTCTCTCTCTCTCTCTCTCTCTCTCTCTCTCTCTCTCTCTCTCTCTCTCTCTCTCTCTCTCTCTCTCTCTCTCTCTCTCTCTCTCTCTCTCTCTCTCTCTCTCTCTCTCTCTCTCTGTGCTATCAGGGACCTTGCCCCCATTCACCACACTGCACCGGATATACCCTTACCAGTTAGTTACCATTATCTTAGTAAAAGACACTTCACTTTTTAGCCATTATAATACCCCGTTAGCACTTGTACACATTATATAGCTATAATATTATAGAGATTACATTACTAGCGTCAACTCGTGGCCCTCCCTAACCCTCTCAGTGGGGCGCTATATGTACGTTATGCTCCCTAATCAAACCTTTCACCTTACTTCAATGTTTAGCGCAATGTTTATTTTTATATTTTCACCAGATTTGATGTGGTTATTGTCGATATAATAACGTGACGAGGCATTATTTTACGCAACATTCTTATGATAAGCACACACACACAGTACACACACACACTTACGTCACAAAGTCAGCTGGACAGTGAACACACAAGTCTCACACCACAAGTCACACCACTTCTCTTACTTTCGTCACTTTCGGGTTAAATCATCACATTCCTCCGGGACGTTTAATTGTATGATAACTTGATAAGACAAGGTTGAACGTCAGGAATAAGGTTCATATTAAAATAAAATCATGTTTTTTACACGATATTATAAGTGGAAATCAAACAACAGAATATTCCTGAACAATATTGAAGTCGGAAACGTCTAAAACTTGCCAAGGCATATTTCATTTCCCTTAGACGTTTGTTTCAAATAAATAGAGACTGTGCATCATTTGATAACTGATTGTTAAAGATATTTTAAGTTTAAATATTTCACCTATTAGCAAAACATTTCAGGCTGGAATCAGCTCCGATAATCAGGTTGGTTAAAATTAAATGCTCATTAAGTTCAAGACAACTCGAATAAAAGGTTCTTAAAGATATATCATACTTTAAAGAGGAAACCTTATTATAAGTCTCAGAACTCACGCGTTAAGACGAAAAATTAATGAAACTCTGATCACATTATCGTTATGAATTGAAATTGTAAAAACCGGCTCTGCCATAAAACTATCAGATACGATAAAAATCGGTTTACAATATGGACATACAGTATCACAAATAAGAGTCAATGCCAGATGACTGGGGCTTAATATGGTTTGTACGTACTGTTACTTCTGTTTTGCTTCACTGGGCCGTATTGGCTGCCGTATGCTTGAGCTTGGGGATATGCGTAACCTGGATAAGCGTAACCTGGATATGCTGGATAGCCGTATCCGGGGTAGGCGCCGTATGCACCGTATGCACCATAGTACTGTTCATAACCACTGTATCCGTATGCTCCGTAGCCGGCATATGCACCAGCTGCTGAAGCATCATATTGTCCCTGACCTCCATAATTGTTGCTGTTGTGGTAGTTATGTTGTCTGTTCGAGTTGTACTGTGCTGACCTTGCTTTGATCTTCTTCTGAACAGGGTGATCCTCATCGAACTTCTTCTTGCAGTCTACAGTGTGCCCTTCTATCGTGTGGACTACACTGTTGGGAGGAATCTTGCCTTCCGTGATCTTCTCAACTGAATCTGAGCTTTCAAACAAGATGAAACAGAAAGCTTTCCTTGTGTTCGTCATTTTGTTGACAATGAACTGGAAGTTTTGGATCTTACCGTATTTCTCGAAGTAAACACGGAGTTGTTCCTCTGAAAGTGCGGCTGGAAGACCTCCAACGAAGAGTTTGTTTGTTTTCATTTTCTCGGAAGAAGGCATTGCTTTCGTTAGCTTGGCTACAGAACCGTCAATCTCGTGTTCTGATTGCTCCAAGGCTTTTGCAATGTTGGCGGTATCAGAGAAGATGATGAAGGCGAATCCTGTGGACTTGCCTTCCCCGTCTTTTTTCAGCTTCGCAATCCTGACCTCACCAAACTTGCTGAAATACTCCTTCAGTGTATCCTCAGATGTGGTCTCAGCTAAGTTTTGTACAAGAACTTTAGGGCTGTCTATCTCATCAGGAAGTTCGCTGTCAAGGTCTTCTATCATAGCTCTGGTCTCGGGATCTACTTCAGGGACAGATTCCACAGCCATTGGTGCTGGTTCTTCCTTGCCTGGTTCCTCAGGTCCAGCGACAGGTTTCTCTGGTCCAGATACATAGGTAGTTTCCTCGCACTGCACAGGTGCTTCAGTTGCTGGCTGTTCGGATTCCATCTCTTGCTCTGGCTCGGTGCCAGGAGGTGCTACATCATCTGTCACTACAACTGAGGCCTCTTCTGGTTCAGCCTCTTCTGGTTCGGCTACTTCTGGTTCTTCTTCCATTACCTCCTCTTCAGCTTGAGGTTCAGGCTCTGCTGGAGTTTCCTCTGCTGGTGCTGCTTCCTCTGCTGGTGTCTCCATGGTCTCCGGGACTACTTCTTGAGGAGCTTCTGTGTCAGACATAACAATCTGAGATAATAGTCGTTACAATGAAATATAAGAAGCTTGGAAGGGCACTATGAATATGCATTTTGTTACTTATCCAATTATCAGATTTTGAGTGCCTTGGCCTCAAAACGATAAAAATCTATGCGGTTTTTACAGATCATAGTGTCCCACCAAATTTTACAAAATATTTATTTTATCGATCATTATATAAAACAAGAATTTTCCGAAAACCAAAAGTCTAAAAATCAATTAAAAAGTGTGAAATGGAATTAAAGATGTGGAAACTTGAAAAGTTTGAAAAGATGATCTGAAAGTTCGCTATTAAACTGAAAGCTGCTGAAAATGAAACTTATGTTACCCAACGCACGAACCTTACACTTCTCTGAGAGCTTCCCACCAATAAGGGTTTATATTTTCATTATAATATACCAGCACTGTAATCAGAGATGGAATTTTGTCAAAATAGGCCCTGGCCTTAGCTCGGGGGCCTTTTTTCGTAGGAAGATAATGCAAAAAAAGCATCTAAGTTGCATACTGGGCGCTACTATGAAACTGTTTGATTTTTAGAATCACTTGAAAAACTTCTGCTATCAAAACGATGCTCCAATATAGAACTATTGTTCAAAGTTTTAATCGTTGCACTTTATGCACGTGATATTGGTTGGCGGGCGTGTACTTTTTTGGGCAAAATTTGAGATTTCTGACTTGATCAGTTATTATTGCTGAGGGGAGATTGTTAGTTTATCGAAATTGAAAAGCAATCATGTCAAGCTCATTCTTTGGAAACGTGTTGAAAGTTGAAATACCATAGATTATTCAAAGAAATAACTCTGCCACTTATTATTCTAATTGAAAGTTTAGAAAAAAAGGCTTGGGCAGAGTCGAAAAGGTAGATATGCCGATACAGACATATTACTTACGTTGATCTACCTTTTGTGCGGTTTAGAGGCCCCGGATTCACCTTAAAATGGGTCTAATTAATTGGTTGTACTGATCGTTACATTGATAGAGCAAAAAAGGTCGAAAAGTTGGAAACGAAATGATTCGGGAAATAAAAGGAAACTGGGAAAATTGGTTTAAAGTGCCACAAAGTGTGGAAAAGATCAGAAAAGCATTCCTTAACGCTTTATACCATGACGTAGTGTTGCAAGGTCATGGAGATTGGCTGGATCAGGTCAACCTGTAAGATAGGTCATATACTCATACTATGACTGCTACCGCTCTTTCAAATTCCAGGACTGTTCTGACTAGAAGAACTTCGATGCAAAATTCATCCGAATGGAAGTGTAGCCGAATGTCAAATCATGGGATGAAATGTAAAATGCGGCATGCAAAAAATTTAATAATGTTTATGATGTCTGAAATAATAATCGTTCGTTAACATGATAACGATAGCTTGTATTTACATGTTTAGTATCATGCATGCATGGCTCTGCGAATAGGATGGCAAGCATCAAAGGATTTTATTTGTAAACCAACATGTTAACTGAGGTTAATAAGAGTAACTATTACATGGTGAATGAGGAATAGGACACAATTTGAAGTGGTTAGAAGTCTCAACTTGAGCAGCACTAAACATGCCATCTTTAACAATAAAATTCAACACGCGTTTACGTTAGCAAGGTGAATATATTATTGTGGGGCACATTAAGACAGCGACGTCGGATGAATCTAGGTAAAAACTTGGTCAGGAATGAAATGTGAGGAGTAAAATTGTCGGCCAACGCCCAACATTGTACAGAAGAGGGACCCGTAATATCTGTCTTGCAATGATGTTCATGAGCGTTTAAATGGGTGGTTTAATGACAGGACTTATGCAACCACAATCTTTTCAATCACACACAGTATTAAATGTAGATAATTTGATTGCTGTTTATAAGACACCATATAATGCAAAACATCTGGCCACAATTCATATGGACAAATATGTCATAGAATTCTTTTAACAGGTCATGTGAAATGAAACAAGATGCAAAAACAACGTCAAACATAACAGCTACATGGCCATAATTTAATTTAATTTGTTTTGCCAAAATCAGGTTATGAAAAGTTGTTGCATCTCGACATTTAATATGAATCTTACAAAGAGTGCTGTTTGGTGATTTGCAAACAATCTCAGGAAACATGTAAGGTTGCACATATGTGTAAGGTTGCACATATAATGTGTAAATTAAGAGAAAGAGATGATGCACATTCAAATTTAGTAAAACAAGATACTCCTTAAGATAAAGAACACACAAATAATATATAAGCAGGTTGGTTGCTGTTATTGTAAGATACGTGCAGTGCAGTGCAGTGCTAGATAATTTAAATGGGTGATACTCTGAGTGAGTGATGTCAACTGAGAGATTAATAAAGGAGAAGCAGTCATACGCGGGAAATGTATAAATATAGAGTACATAGTATTATTGAACTTTATAAAATATAATAACAAGATAATAACTGATATTAGCCCAACTAGAAATTAGCACAATTATGCATAAGTAAGCATAATTATACATAAGAAGCACGTTTTTGCTACGTGGCTAAACTTCAGTATACTGAAAGAGGAAAACAGACATGTTACCTCTGGAAATTTTACCTCTCGACGACATTTAAGCTTATTATTGATATCCGAGTTCAGCTCTATTGCGGTAAACACTTGACAATACAAAGGGTACGGTTTCAAGTTGGGGTAAGAAATCGTGCACAATCAAATTCATAATCACATATTTTTAGTTGAAAAGTTTTTATGGCCCAGAATAATGTCAATTTGCGCAAACAAGATCACATCTTTTGAGATTGAGAAACAAATTTTTAAGTGGGAGTAATTACTTCCAACCATAAAAGTCATAAACGTATGACATAACCTTTTAAAATGCCATGAATTACATAAATTTAATACTTTAAATTTAAAACCTTTGAATATAAAGCATAACACACGTGTGACACTACACACATCTTATCATATCATGTGAACCAGTCACAATAATTCGAAATGTTCATATTATATAGTCCATACAGTAATTACTCAAAATAATTATAAAATACGATCAAAAACTAAAATTATAAAATCCTAAGAAATCTAAAGATCTCTAGTCTCTATAATCTAAATTATACTGCTACCCAACACACTTAATATATACGCTTGATTAACGGCATTATCGCTAATCATAGAAAAACTGCAACTATAATAAACTTTAATTCAATATAACCGCGGGCATTAGTGAATTGTGGGCATCATCTTCAGGGAACAAATACCTATATGTAGCTTATTTCTTATATAATATATATCGTGCAGTCTTCAAATATATAGATACAAAATCTCTGATTCGAATTCAAAAGTATGCCATGAAGAACAATTAACCAGTAAGTAGGATATGTCCAGATACGTTGAATGAGAGTCATCCTTATCAATATAACGAGTTTTAAATGCAACTTCTTATCTCGGGAGCACCACAATACCGTACAATGTTATGAACGATCCAGATCTGTCAAAATATACGTATATATACTATCATGCAACCAACAACTATCAAGTACATAATATTTGCAACAACAAATTATCAAATACACTTATTTTAACAATCCAATGACATTGAAAATATTACAACGCAATTACTCAAACAATTATTATACTTCTCGAATAACAACACAATATTAAACATACAGATAAATGTATACCATTCCAATTATGCACTATATTATATACCTTTACATGGTACATAGGGCCACGCTACTCTGACAAACAATCAATAGAAGAAACAAGCCTAACAACATGTGTGACGACAGGGTTTATAGTGGGGAAAAGAGAGCTAACAAAAGGTATCACCCATGCGTTACCACCAGTCTCAATAAAACACTTGATCACCCTTCATCACAGCTGGACAAGGTGGTAACACCATGAGCTCCATCTCTCGCTCCCTCTCTGTCTCTCTTATGTTCAGTTATAGTTACTATTATTAGTGCTATTTTTGTTACCACGGCTGTTACCTCTGCTACCACCATTAGCTGTTTTACCCATGTTTCCGTTGTTATAGTAACCATTGTACGCATTGTTGTACTCTTCGTAACCGTTGTAATACATGTCCCTGTGAGGTGGACCGCCGTAGTGACCGCCGTAGTGACCGCCGTAGTGACCGTATCCGTAGTATGGACCTCCGTAGTTGCTGTTGTAATCATACGCATTGTTCCCGTAGTTGTTGCCATGGTTACCGTAATAGTCCCATCCTTTCTTCTGGCGTTCTATTGCTTTAATCTTGCGCTGTATAGGATGACTGTCGTCGAACTTTTTCTTGCACTCTATTTCGAATGATTGAATAGTGTGACGAGTGCTCTCAGGAGGAACCTTAGATTCTGTTATTTTCTCTACAGCGTCACTGAACTTGAACTGAATGAAACAGAAACTCTTCCGTTCACGGGTTTGCTTGTTGAATACAAATTGAATCTCTTCGATTTCACCAAACTCAGAGAAATAGTCTCTCAGATGTTCTTCCGTAAGTTCGGATGGAAGTTTCCCAATGAATATTTTGTTAGTTTGCATTTTCTCTGATCTAGTTCTAGCTTTTTCTACTGTCACTCTACGGTTGTCAATAGAGTGGTCCTGCTCATTTAAAACGTGAGCTAGGGCGTCTTCGGTTTTGAAGATGATAAACGCAAAACCTCTGGAAGTACCATCAGGATATCGCTTCAAGTCCAACTTTTCAATTTCTCCAAATTTGGAGAAATATTCATGCACCGTCTCTTCGGTGGAGCCAAAGGAAAGCTGGAGAACAATTATTTTTGTAGCCTCGTTCTCGTCAGAGTGATCTGGTACAGATGATTGCCTGTCAGAATGATCTGGAATAGAAGATTGTCTTTCAGAATTATCTGGGATAGAAGATTCTCTCTCATCGTTATCGGGAACAGGAGACTGTCTGTCAGGGTTATTAGGGATAGAAGATTGTTTAACTAAAGGTTCTTCCTCTTCTACCTGCTCTTCTTCTGATGGAGTATTCTGGGGTGGAGGCGATGGTGACAAGGTTTCTTCTGCCATGAGGAATCTAGAGAATATTTGTGATGTTAAGCATTTTCAATGTTGGAGCTTTAGTCATAAATAAATTCCGTAAGTGAGCCATTTCGTTATCAATAATGGGAATTTAGTTATATTGTTTATTGAGATTTAAACTTAAATTGTGTAATATTTGTACTTTTGAAATTCAAACTTTTGTCAACTTTGTCAAGGCAAATAAAACAAAACGGATAAAAGAAGTGCCTTCAGGCCATAATTCTTTACAGATCCACACAAAATCCATCAGCAAAATAATCCATTCAGTAAATATACAAAATGTTAGCCCTTCCACGCTACATGAAAAAAGTTATTATTGTTAAGTGTACATAGCAGCACTTATCGGATGACAGCTTAATTATTTTGATAGATTATTCCCACTTAATAATTTAATAACCTTCAAAAGCATACATTTAAACTAACATCCGCTACGTTATAACATAACAATTAAATCAAATTGTCTTTTAGAATAGTTGTTGATCGTTAATATCTAAGCTGATTGCTGAATTAAACCTGAAGACGTGGGGACCATGACACTTCATGTCAACTGTCCTGGTCAATGTGACCATATCTCAAGCAAAACGTAATGCAATGCAATGTCAAAGCGATTAACATGTTGGACATGAATTTCACCAATCTCAAATCAACCAAAATTATATGCTTTAAAAACAGCAAGCACTTGTAAACGAGCTTGCTGGAGCCTTCAATGAGTAAAGTAGAAGTGGACTATTATCGAAATCCTTAATATATCGATCGAAATGATAGATCTTATCAACTCCATGTAGTCTACAAATAAGTTATAATAGAGTAAATTATACTTTATAAATCCAATAAATTAGCTTTACTCTCGGAACTGTACATTCTCCTTCCCATTCGAAAATCCACTGTGTTTGTAATCCAAACATATAAAATTATAAAGTTTACAACTCCGTTCCTGCAATTTAAAAACAAATTAGGCAGGAGTTATCCAACATATGAGGCGGCATGATGGCTCAAAATGAGTCAAAGATACCTGCCAGAGATTTGCTCAAGTTTAAATATCACATTTTGAAATTGAAGCACCCATTGAAAGTGACATGTGTAGCTTATTCAAATTAATATAACAATAAGTATCCATAGCTTATCAATCAACCGATTTCTAAACTTTGCCCTATTGCCTCGTAGAGTTTAAGATATTTACTACATAACCAACCATGGACATGATAAGGAATCGATGTGATGATGCGGATAGTGGCCCAAATTTGGGTACCAAATACATTAAATCAACATATCATCAAAATAATTTGAAATCATACAAATTTCGTCCTCAAAAATAAGGCATAAGGGCAACTTTCACAGTTCCATTCCATCAAACAATAAAGCAAGTCTCCGAATGTAAACATCACCGTGTGACATGCACAACATAGCAACTGCAATAACTTTTAACGCAGAGCATACATATCTGCCCTAACTATACGTGGCTAGCCACCCTAGTCAAACTAACGATGTCTCGTCCTAGAGGTTGACTATATCCTGGGGTAATTTGCGACCTTTTTCCGATATAATTAATTAATAAATTAACTAATTATATAAAAGTTCCCAGATAATATGCACTTTGTGCACACAAACCAATTAGGGCAGATTAAGTAATTTTCCCTCCTATCAATATGACAGCTGGAATAAGATCTGACGCATTAATAATTTAGAACCTAACTTATTATATAAAAACAAACTAGTAGTGAGAAGAGTTATGGAATTATACAAGCTCACTACATATTGTGCTGTGAGGTTGAGAGCCGCAGACGACTCACAAGCGCAACAACAATGTACTGTTATCAATTTGACACCACATAACAACACTGTAAGTATAAATAATTAAAATAGCTGTCCACGACTTTGTTATAAGATTCAGAAGGAATAATTCTAACTAAATAATAACTAAATTTTAAAAGTCCCGGTGGAAATCAAGAACAAAATGTAGACTAGTATAGTAGTTCTGCTCTGTGTCTTGGCGTATGTATTTACGAACGGTTAACCTCCATCTCCTTATAATAATATAATAGACAAAAAACTAAAAATACAGTCTATAATATAAAGAACTAAAAAGTAACAAACTCAGGAAAATAGGTCTAGAAATGCGTTAACTACAGGCGTACTCCGTATTTATAACATTCAACAAAATCATAACTGTCAGAATTGCAATAGAGTTTGCACTTGAGGAAGAGCTTTAACTAATTGAAATTTTCAGGCTGAACATGGAATGCAGAGCAGTATTTAGCAGAGCAGTATTTAGCAGAGCAGTATTAGCAAATGATATGCTTGAATTATCAATTCTTGCAACACAAGACAAGATGTAAACTTTGATCATATGAATTAACTTTATAAGCGATGAAATTTTCTCAAACTAACAACTTAGAGCTATCCCCAACATGCTTCCATGAAATTCTACAACAAACTTTCAAAAACCTCTGTTCGGAATAGTCACTTGATGAAGAATTTTGGAACTACTTTGCAAGATAAATAAATGTTGCATGTACAACATGTAGCTCATAGCTCAACTTTGTAAATATGTACCTTGTGAAATTGTAGCTAAATATCTAAATCTGTCAAACCACAACGTTACTAACCGCTACAAGCCAGAGCAACATTACCAATACAGGAACTTTCTTGATTCACCTCGAAAACCGTGCTGGAATTCGGGCAAATGTAGACCAGTTGCAGTATCGACTTTTTGCCTGAATATTTTCTCCAAATCCTCCATCAAATCATTCTTTTCAACAAACAATCTAAGCCCATGGGGTGAGAGTCCATGGGGCAAACACTGACAAACTGACTGCTGTGCGCAGCATCCCCTTCAAGTTCAATTGCAAAAAATAAACTTGACGACAATTTGTGCTATCCTGCAGCTACCAAAGCGATCATCACTGGCCACCTTGTCATTCATTCGATCAATAAGGACGGTATCCGAAGGCACCTCTTTGACTGTTGGGACGAAGAGGACCTCCGTAACCAAAGGTGTGGGGGTAGGAAGGTTGGAAGGTTGTGGGGTACCCATAGCTGCTGTAGCCATAATAGCTGTAACCAAAGGTGTCAAGGCTTGGTCCAGGGTAGATTTCCATCTGCTGTTTCCTCATCTCTTTGAACTTTTTCTGGATGGGGTGGCCCTCAGGGAATTTCTTTCTACATTCCAGTCTGAACTTTCCTATTTTGTGTACCACACTGCGAGGAGGATTCTTTCCATTGACTGCTTTCTCTACAGCTTCAGTGCTTGTAAATACAATGAAGCAGAAATGCTTACGGCGCTGAGTGTCCTGGTCAATCACCGTTTCAATCTTCTCAATAGTGCCAAACTGATCGAAGAACTCAGAAATCTCTTCTTCAGACAAAGATTCAGGAAGCCCTCCAACAAAGAGCTTGTTGGTTTTGGTGCGATCTTTGTAAGGAATAGCACGGGCAACAACAACCTCTTTGGTGTCAATAATGTGGGTCTGCTCGACAAGCTTGTCTATAACAGCGCCATCATTGAAGGTGATGAAGCAAAACCCACGCGATTTGCCTCCCTCATCAATTTTGAGATCAACATCACTAATAGCTCCGAATGCAGAAAAGTATCCTTGGATAGTATCTCGAGTGGTATTTTCATCAAGAAGTCTAACTATGATCTTTCTGGAGTCAATGTCATCCGCTAATTCATCAGCAGCGTAATTGTCATCCTGGAATGCAGCCATGGATCTCCTAACAAGATTTTGGGTTAGAGATTCAATTTCAAATAAACGCAAAAAAGTAATAACACTTATGTCATTACTATCTTTTATTCAAGTGTTAAATACAATTCAGTAATTTAAAAAATTGTGATCAATGAACCGATGTTGTGTGACTGTCAAAGCACAAGCTGGCAATGAAAGTGGTTCAGTCACATTATATTGTAACTACTCATTTGAAGATCATGCTGAATCTAAACTTAGATTTTTAAAGGTGACACCCAATCAACATTGAATCGATTATACTTGTGTTTGCGAACAAGGCAACAAGCTAGAAACTCCATTTTAACATGTTGTAATATGAGGAATTTATGATGTGAAAAGATATCGTGAAACAAATTCAAAATGACAAAGTTTTTAAGCAACTTAATCATAATGTTAACCTAATTGATTGGGTAATTGTGACATAGCATACATTACGACATCGTAATTGGACTTCCTGCACGAATCCCATAGTGCGGATCTAGTGTCAACCTAATCACCTATATAATTTTTTTCTATTAGACTCTTTATGCTTGATATCTCTGTCATCTGAGCAGCTAGAGCTCCAATTTTTTCCGGACAAGTGTATTTAAAATGCAAATGGCCAAACACAATTCATCACAATTTGACTTGTTCCAACCAGTCAAAATATCTAAAAGCCGCAAAATGGAAAAGAATATTCAAACAATATACACATAATATAGCAATGGCCAATTGGCTGACTATAAGGTCATGGCCTGAACAAACAATTTTTTTAAATAGTCAAGTGATGCTAAAGCAGAGCACAAATGTGTAATAAGTTAATAGATTAAAAAACTGATTCATGTGATGCATTCGCAGAGCACAGATAAAAATACTGATTCAATGATTAAAATTATAGCTGTGAGTGCCAATAAAGCCGCAAAATTGAACGTTCATTTGTAAAAAACGAAACATCTATTATTTGATTTTACATATTCCTTGAATGAGTTTTTGATTGAAATAAATTTTCGTGCACATACAGAATGAATGGTTAATAATTTAATATATATGTAGACCAAGCTCTGTGCACGGATGCTTCCTGGAAGAATCCAGTTCTTTTAGCGGGGCACCCTACCTAAAGCCAAATTGAGATATAATAATCATATTCCTAGGGAAATAATCAGAAATCGAATACCAATCAAATAATATGATATATAGGAGTAGTAACCATATTTACTATGCAAAATGCCCCAACCACATAGTGTAAATTTATATAAAATTCAAATTCCATATCATCATTGAACCTCAATAGTCAATATAATAGCCCAAGCAAAATTAAATAACTTCTTATATACCTTACTGTCATACTACAAATTGATTAAACATTTGAAATCTGTTAACCAGAGAATAAATTTCTAAACCTAATGCAAGTGAAATAATTTAGATGCAATAATGAATGCCTAATGTGAGTATCATCTGTCAATGTCCTTGTAAACAGTCTGTACAAGAGATATGAGTAACTAAAATAGAAGAAAAAACAGGAAGTTGTCGTCTGTTGAAAAATAAATAAAATATCTAGAATATAAATTAGAATATTTAAAATAACATTCAGTCAATGTGTCGTCAATAAACTGTACAATTATCAAATGTTAGAACTGGGTGATACAGTCACCAAAAATAAATACTAAGTATGATAAGTTAATAAATTAAATGTGGTCTATAAAACTACCACTAGGTATAATAGGTCAATAAATTAAAAGTGGTTTATAAAACTACCACTGTGCGAATCCCTTCTCCAGTTAAGACATGTCAGTCATGTGCAAAATCAATCAGAATGGTAAGGTGGTCAAAAAGGGAATATCCTTTCGACATAAATTATATATGCCTCAGATTTAAAAGAATAAGATACTTAGTTATCGTCGACTATGATTGCAGTGTAAAATTTGTCATATGAATTGTCGACGGTGTAATTAGGGTCTGTTGTTATAGATGAGAGTAGCTGTTTCTTATACGAATCACTTAAGCTTTTAACATCGGGCAGATTTCGTAGATCTGTTGGAACATTATTCCAACATTTTGCCCCCAAGTATTGAAAGTTTTTATGTGATGTTGATCTATTAACATATAGGTTGCAGCTTTCGCCGCTCCTACTACCTCCTGATATGTAACTAAATTTGTTCATAAAGTTTGTAGGACAATTGTCATGGATGATTCTAAACATATAATTTGACAGATGGAGTTGTCGTCTAAGATGGAGTGGTAACCATTTCATGTCTCTATAAACATTAAGGCTGCTCTCTGTTTGTGGAACGTTGAGAGCTATTTTGGCTACCTTTTTGTACAGAGTGTCAAGTTCAGCAAGTTTTGTCTTGCCAGCTCTACAATAGATCGTGTCTAAATAATCGAATTGTGGCAACATGAGTGCATTGGCAAACATTTTCCTATATTTAATGGGTAGCAGTGCTTTGCTTCTATACATGGCACCAATTCTCTTCATGACCTTCCTAATAATATAATCTACATGGCTTTTGAAGTTTAATTTACTATCTAGAATGAGGCCAAGATATTTTGTCTCTTTGCACTCCTTGATTGTGAAAGTTACCTCATTACATTCAATGGTTAATTCATCATGTTGATCAACAGAATCAAACAATAGGAATTCAGTCTTCTTTTCATTGAGTGACAATTTATTAACACTGAGCCATTTAAAGATTGTCATAAGTTCTATTTTCATGTTTATAAATGTGCTTCTGCAGGTTTGATCAAAGAATAGTGCACCATCATCTGCAAATAGAAAGGGCTTAGATAGGTTACAGGCATAAATGATGTCATTTATGAAGATACTAAATAATATAGGCCCAATGATGCTTCCTTGTGGTACACCACTCAGAACTTCTAAAAATGAGCTTATTTTGCCATTGATCTTTGTGCATTGATATCTACAAGATAAGAAGTTCTTAAACCAGGTTAAAGCAATGCCACCAATTCCATAATATGCCAATTTTTGAAGCAATATTTCATGATTCACTGTGTCAAAGGCCTTCTTAAGATCAAGAAAGATGATTCCTGGTTTATAAGACTTAGATTTACTCATATATATTTCGTCCATCAGATCGTACATCAAATAAGTTGTGGAGTGATTTTTCCGAAAGCCATATTGATGCCGGATGAAAAGTTTGTTCTCTTCCATGTAATCAGTGAGTTGCTTGCCGACAAAGTATTCTATAAGTTTTCCTATAAGTGGAAGGATGGATATTGGCCTGTAATTATTAGGATCATCTTTCATTCCTGCCTTATGGACGATGAGTCATAATAGCATCAAATACCAGCAATTGGGCAATCAGTGACTGAGAAATAAGCCCCATGATGATGAAAACAATGAGCATATTGGTAACAAATTATAGTATAATAGATCTGAAAAAATAAAATCTCCAAAAAAGTAAAAGCTTGTACCCAAAGATAAGAATAAAAATACTTTTATATACACAATCAAATAAAGTGATCCCAACATATGTGTGGGACTTTTTCTCTTTAATGTACTGAAATATCACTGACCTAGCTGACATTTATGTTAACAAGAAATGCGGCCGCTTTTCTTTCGTGGATGGCCACTCAATTTCCCGATCAGTGATGGTGTATTTTATTACATTCCATACAGCCTGGGGACCCCAGGCTTTACTGTTCATAACTGCAGAAATGGCGGAGTGACAGTGGACAGGCTGAGCACCGCCAAGTTAATTCTAATCTAATCTAATCTAATGAGACACCACTATCAAAAGTCTCTTATAACCTCATCCCTGCCCCTATGATGGAGTAGATGTGTATATATCTGATTGTTGATATTTAATATTATATAATATTGGTAGCAGTGGACAATTTCCGTTACCTCTGTATTGTGCTCTGCCAATTGCAACACTTGAATTACTTTATTGTATATATATTGTTTGACACTTTTTCATCTAATCTAATCTAATCTAATCTAATCTAGCTGGTGTGCTCTCTGATAAACTATAAACCTCAATACCAAAATAAACTCATCTTCCAGAAGCTCTCATTGGTGGATATACTCAATATTTAGATCAAACTGTTGGAAAACAACTAGTTTGCGATTGTACAACTTTTACAAAAAGAATAAAATGTCTACTATGTCTCAGTGGCGTAACGTTGCCTGTTGGCGCCCCCCTGCCGAAAAAAGCGCCCCCCTGTTGGCGCCCCCTCCCCTTTTGGTGCCCCTCCCTAAAATTGAACAAATTAGGTGATTTTAAAGAATACGCCGGTAAAATCTCTAAAAAAGTGTGTATCTAGAGCAAAACGCGCAGTTTTGCTAGTACTTTAGTTAAGTTTTCGAAATTGTCCCACATTCAAACGACGATTTGGCGCCCCCCTAAGACGGCGCCCCCCTGCACAGCGGGGTCAGCAGGGCCTTTCGTTACGCCACTGCTATGTCTATGAGCAGAGATAAATGCATTTAACTCAGGGCCAATAATGGTGGATACACTTTTCAGAAGGGTTGGGTGGATAAGTCATTGATTGGTCTGTAACTTTGTGTGTGGTTAATTTATGGTGATTTGATCTCTGAGGTCATCAGAGATTTTCAAAATGGCAAGGCGAGTGACATACCTATAATCGTTGTAAAAAAATCGGCAAAGCTCATTGCTGGTACCTTGGCCAGGCTTTACAACACATGTATACAAAGTGGTACATTCCCAAGTATATTTAAAACTGGTAAAGTTATTCCTATTTACAAGAAAGACAATAAGGAATGCATTGAAAATTATCGGCCTGTATCAATATTACCTTTATTTGGAAAAATCTTTGAGAAGATCATTTACAAACGCCTTTATAATTTCTTCACATCTAAAGGTGTACTAACAGACTCACAGTTTGGATTTAGAAAAGGCCATTCTACCACTCATGCTCTACACAAATCTATAGACTCCGTTACAAAGTCTCTGGCTAGCAATAAACATGTATTGGGCATATTCATTGACTTGAGCAAAGCCTTTGACACCCTTGATCACAATATTCTTCTAAGCAAGTTAAATTCCTACGGTATTAGGGGTTCAGCACTTACCTTACTTAAAAGCTATTTGACTAACAGAAAGCAGTATGTTATGTATAACGATGTACCATCAGTAACAATGGACGTGAAATTTGGAGTACCACAAGGGTCAATTCTTGGGCCACTACTCTTCCTACTGTATATGAACGATATAGTAAACTGTTTTTCAGACAGTGAGGTGAAATTTGTACTTTATGCTGATGACACTAATATCTTCATATCAGGACCATCTAGAGAAGCAACATATAAAAAAGCCAACTTAGTACTTAAACATGTCTCGATTTACATGAAATGTAATCTACTTCATATCAACATGTCCAAATGCTGCTACATACATTTTAAACCTGCCTCTGAATATGATGACACCTGTGCGCGGACTAGACCATTTGCTAACCTGCTAGATGAATCTAGATCAATATTCATCGATGGTAAGGTTATCACTAAAGTCAAGGATACCAAATTCTTAGGTGTTGTTATAGATAGTAAGCTAAACTGGTCTGCCCACATGCACTACATCCGTAAAAAGCTGCGGACCATGACTGGTGCAATCTGTAGAATCCGGCACTCTATACCTGCTGAACTATACTTGAAAA